TCTGGGAAGAGGGGGAAAGAGAAGAAAGGATCTCTATTTTTCAATTCCTGTAAGACAAACTTTGTTTTAAAATGTCACTTTATTGGCTGTATCTGTATTCTTCTTGATTTCTAGTCTTTTGTTGACTTTCAGATTGCCAGAATTGGGACTTGAAAGTAAGTGACCATGTATGTGGTGGACGTGGGAGGTTCTGCAGGGTGAGCCCTGATGGCAGAATCCCTGCGTTTCTTCTATACACTCTTCTGTGCGGCAGTAACTGGGCAAGACTGGACTCCCTCTCTATGCCGGACACTTGGTCCATGCTTCTTAGAGCATGGCATGTCTCCTTGTGTGATCATATCGCTGTACTTCCCTGCTTCCTCACTTTAAAAGGGGGATTACCTACTTCATGGGTTGATGCTGCATGTAGGCAGCACAGTCCCCAACACAGCACTCCATTAGCCACCCTTCCATACCCTGCACTGCAGTGGTGTTTAGTGAGCTGTTAAAGGGCAAATGTGTTGTGTCTATTTTGTTCCCTTAATATTCTTTTTTTTGGTATGAACCACACAGTTGGTTCAAACCATTTTACTCTGCATCTCTACTTCCAACATTGATGTTCCTAAATTTCGTATCACAGAACCCTAGTATCTTTGAAATGTTAATGGGTACAAGGGGGTTGGGAGTAGAGAACTTTGGGTCATACTTGTCAAGTGATGTTTCCTTGGCGCTTTTTTTAATTTCTTTTTTAAGGATTCAGTCTATAAATTAACAATCTGAAAAATGTGTTTTATTTAATCTAGTGACTTTTTTCAGGTATCATTCTCAAATAGAATGATGCTATCTTCTGGGGTAGCAGTTATAGAGGTTATAATACACAAATAGAATTTGGGAAGTGTAGTCCTAATTTTCCATTCATGCTTCATACCATTTCCACTTCCTGTCTGTGCACATGCACTGCCCACGCCAAGGCACTGGGCCCCCTCCTGCTTCAGAGAGCAATAGCTTGCTTTTCTTCATTTCCTACCCCTCACAACTGCAGTTGCTTCCTCCTATGTCCTGGCTCTTAGCTTCTCAAATAGCTCCCCTGCCCCATCTTAAATCTTTACCTTTGTCCCAGTGCAATTTGGGGGGCATTTTTAGCATGAGTCTTTTCTCATCTTTGTTGGGGGTGGGAAGCCCCCTTTCTTCAAGTCTAGTTCTCTACCAAATAGCACTTTCTTCCTCTTCCCACAGTCTCAAAGAGCTTGGCTGTGATAGGAATAAATGTCATTGTACTTGGCTGCCTTTGAAACCACAGATCAGGAGTGCTGACTGGGGACTTTGAAGAGCTTACTGCAGCCACTGACAAGACCTGCTGTGGCCTCTTGGGAGGCTAACTGCCTGGCCACCTTTCAGTCTCCTTTGATTCCTCTTACTCTGTCATCCTTTGAGGGTTGTTTATCAACATCCTTCTTTAGCATCCTCACCCAGGGTTATTATGTTCAGTCCCTTAGCTTCTCCACCATCACATTCATCTGATTCTTACACTTCTTACTCCTGTCAGCCTTTCTGTGCTCCTCCTCTCTTTAATCTCAGTTACTTTAACTCACCCAAATAATTAAAGAGAAACTTGGGTGTCATGCCTGATTTTCAGAGGACTTATCATTTGTTTATCCTTGAGGCATTAATTATGCCACACAATTTCTCTTAAAGTCATCTGCCTTTTCTATGCCTATAGCTTCCCACCTCAACCAGGCCAGTGTTGCTTCTTTCCGTATCTTCTCACCTTATCTTCAGTCTCGTTCCCCTCCAGTACATTTTGTCCATTTAGATCTTTAAGCATAAGCCTGTTATATCATGCCCCATGTAGAAATCAGCCAGTGTCTAAAGACAAAGGTTGAACCCCAAGTTTACAGTATTCTTCATGACCTGGCTCCCTTGTGGAATCCTCTTGTGGAATCCTCTGGTGCCTTGTTGGTTCTCTATAGAAAGGCTGAAGAGCTCTGAAGTTGGTTTTCTTTTACCGCTTTCTCCTTAGCATTTCCTTCCCCTACAAAACAAAAATCAAATCCTCTTGCTACAACACCTGCTGCCCTTCAGAGCTGTTTTCTGGAAAAACTTCGCTGATTCTAATTTGACTGGATGAAAAGTATTCCGGGTACTAAGCTAACAGCATGAAGACTAAAGAGTGAGGTTTCTTTCTCAGGAAGCACAGCCATACTATACCATAAAGGTTTACTCAGTTTTTTCTAGTTTAGGTCAACTGGTACATATGCCTTCAAGAAGCTGTTATATACCTTTCATGAAGTGAACTTTCATGAAGTACACCTGGATTTTTATACTGTTTATATTTTTTGTGACTGGCCTCCATCTTCAGTGCTTCTTAACAGCAGCACTTAGTAGTAGTTTCAACTTTCGTTTCAAACTAGTAAATTAATGCTGGTTATGCTTCCTTTCCAGGATCCCTATGGTGTAGCAGTGGGTGGAACAGTGGGGCACTGCTTATGCACTGGATTGGCAGTAATCGGAGGAAGAATGATAGCACAAAAAATCTCTGTCAGAACTGGTAAGTCAATTGTTTTTCTTTTTTCTCATTCTGAGAGGTTAGAAATAGGGTGTGTGTGTTAGTTCTGTATTTAAGTTCTTTATTCTGAAATACACCTGGTCTTTGTAATTATCTTCTTTGAAGTCCTAGGTATCACCCAATTGCTTTCCCCATGGGTAGAAGTCAGTTAAATAAAAAGTGCATCTAAAAACACCAGTGATACCATAGTAATTATCATATGGGAATATGGGAAATTTTGGATCTTAAAACATATTAAGACTGAGAATCAGGTATGAACCAGGTGTACTGATTCTGCTGAACATTTTGTATGCAGCTATAAATAATCTGGAGGCCTACCGATGAAATAGCTACCATTTTTTAGCCAGAGGTTGTTGAACATTCTTCTTTATGATTGGGTTTTGGGATGTATAGTTGTAATGTTGTTTATCAGCACTATCTCAATTTAATGCTATGATTTCCCAAGATAGTGTCAGAAAAGAATCTGATTAGGAATGTTAAGTGTTATTCTTTGCTGTATAAATGGAGTGAATTTGTATTCAAGGTTAGTTTACTAGACTAGAAACAAACAGGTAAATTCATTGTCTCCCTCAAAATTTTGTAGAATATCAGGGTACAGGAGAAATTTTGCTTCATTTAATTTTTTTTCTTCTCTTCCAGTGACGATCATAGGAGGTGTCGTGTTTTTGGCGTTTGCATTTTCTGCACTATTTATAAGTCCTGATTCTGGTTTTTAACACACTATTTGTTCATCTGTATTTAGTATAAGATAGGTAACTACTGTCATTCTGTACATAGTGTACATTACAACTAAAAGCAATGGAAAATACTGTATTTTGTAGCATTGATTTTTGAGTTTGACCAATTTAATGAAAGTATTATGTCCAAAAAAGATAATCACTGATTTTATTTGTAAAATAGATTTTTCAAAGAAACCCGACTTCTCAGTGTGGGCTTTTTGCAACATAATTGTCAATATAGTCCCCATTTCTGTTTGGTAAGTGTAGAACCATTGTGCAGTGGGGTCTACCACTTGATTTTCTTTCAACATGACCCCTTTATAAGGAATATATTCTCCTTGGTCACTGAGGCATTTCAGATGTTTACCTTAAAAATTTCCTTGTGGAAAGAAAGAATGAATTTCTTTTTAAAAAATATTTCCCTAAGCCACTAAGCAGTAGTTTAATCATGTCTTCAAAATTAGATTGTTTTTAAAAAGAGACAATAAGGTAATAATTACTATACCAATAACATGATGCAATTAGAATTGTTTGCAAGTCCATTCTTTTTTTTAATTGGGTAGGACACCCAATATGAAAATAGTCAATATTTGACAATGTGGAATTACCAAATTAAGAGAATACTATGAATGTATTCATATTTTTTCTATATTGAATAAACAATGTAACATAGATACAATGTAAATAAAAGTGGTATGACCAGTGCTTGTTTTTCCTTGTGTGTTATACAAGTCATTAACTTTTCTAACTTACCAAAGTAGTATTGCTATTATCTAGGCCATTTCTAAAGTAGATGTAAAAACAAACACTGATGTGTACACTGATGTGTAGCTAAACAGGAGCTAGATATTATTCTGAAGCACTGTCTCACTTGGCTTTCACGATTCTATTAGGTAGTAGGCATTAATGCAAGGTTTTTTTAAAAGGGCAACTTACCCAAGGTGACATTGTAGAGCAGGGAGGCAAACCAGGCAGTTTAATGTCAGAGCCTGCAATTATTCCTTATGCTAAGGATGCCTCATTTTATCATAGCAGTTTCAGTAATCAGTCATTTAAAGTCTACTAGAACTTTACCACTCCACTCAGTCAGTACAACAGCTGTTCTCCCAGCCTGTGTGAGGTCCACAATGTAATCTGTAACTTGACAAGACTGTGAAAGGACCCAGCTAATCTCAGTAGCTGTGGAAAGGGCAGCTGACCTCTAAAGAAACCTACAAGTGGTCCTCAGCTACAAAGTAGCTTTCAGCTGTTAGGCAGCAGCATAATACTATCAAAGAAAAACATCATTTTTGGAAACTTCTAAGGAGTTCTCTAACTCCATAAAAAATGTATATTATAGGATAGAAAAAACCAATATCCATGAATTAAGACAAAACACTTCAAAGAAACAGACTCCTAATTAACTGCCTTAACTTATAAACAAAGACAGTGAGGAACTATTACTAATATTTATTTTCTAAGAACAGAAAGGAGATTTTCTGGTAGAAAGTAGCTGGTACCATCACAGACTGATGAAGATTAGGTGGCCTGGTACCACACAGACTGATGAAGATTAGGTAGCCTGGCCCCAGTAACTAGCTTGCTATGTGAATAACAGCATAGGCTTTTGTTGTTGTTTATTGTAACAGGACAGAATTAACTACTTAGAGATTCTGGTAATTCAGACCTAAGCTACAAGGTAAAAAATGCTAAAACAGTTAGCTTCTGTTGAAGAAAAGAAAGGAAAATGTCATTGATGGTGATTTTAAAATATTTAATAGTCTTTAAACTCCAAAATGTGATTCTTACAAGTTACGTGCCACATAAAGCAGATGTTACTTTTGGAGAAATGCAGGTGATACTGAAAAACATAGCACTGAGGTATTTTTTATTTTTAAAATTGAAGAAGGAAACAAAGTCTGGATCTAATTATTTTTACATTTACAAAAAAAAAAAATCCACAATACTACTGCTTGGTTCTCTTGCTATAATTTTAGGTTCTGAATATACAAGAATCTATGGGAAAGAACATTATAAGAGTACATATAGATTTGAAAACCTATGCACATCATAACTTGGAAAAATGATCACAGAGCAAGAAGTCTGAGTGGATGTAGGCTAGTCACACATTTTGACTTTCTTTTTAATGGACAGCTTTGAAAAGTGAGTGTAGCCAATTGTAACATAAAATTAAGATGGCAATATTAAGTTGGTAACAAAATGATCCACATATTTTATACAATATTTCCAAACATAGCTCATAGAAATCAAAGACTCTAATATAGCACCATTGAAACCATTCATTATCCCTCATGCTTCTATGCAATTTAGGACTTTGGCAGGAGACAATACCTGAAAAATGCCAAGTCTCATTTTTGAAAATTAATTTGGATTTCATTTAAATGTTTGCTTTGGGGAAGAAAAGGTATTCAGTAGCCATTTAATAACAGCTCTACCCTTTTGGAAATAAGAATGACAGGCTACGTCTACATTTTTATTTTAAAACCAAGAACCAAGCAGTACAGACAGCAATGTCAAGAATAAAGAATAGCACACTAAGAACCACATAGAACATTAGAAAAGAATTTGGTGTGTGTTTTTACAACTACCACTTGATGTTAAACAATTAAAAATTTACAAAGATAAAACTTTTTTTTTTTTGCACTAACTGGTTTCAATACAGCACTGATTTAACTCATCTTTGGGTTTTGATTTTCACACAGAGTGAATATGAAAGTGCCATACTGAGGCCCTTCCCTAACTTAAACCATAGTAAAATAGATTTCAAAATAATTCTAGAATGGTTTAAATTACAGCCGTTTTTTTTTTTTAATTTTTCCTGGACAACTTTTTTGCTTGAAGATGATTGTCTAGGTACATATCAATTTGAAGATAACGGCTTTCCCCACATTCTAGCTTCTTAGTACTGGCACAACCATTGCCAGCAGTGAATCTGCACCAGTACAAGCCAACTCTCTCTCTCTCTCTCTCACCACACACACACACACACACACACACACACACATTTGAATGTTATTTCTTAAAGCGATGTCACAGTTTGTTTGCTCAGAGATTTAAAAGCATGCATTTGAAAACATAGCATATCTTTGATTTAAACCAACATGTGGTTGACATGTTTTAATTAACATTCTCTAAGGGATCCCTGTGTGTGCTATTCCTAGCCTATGGGACTCCAAAGTTACTCTGGGAGCTCTAATGTGGAGGATTATGTACCAATACATGTAAGCAAGAAGAATCCTCAAATAGCTAGGCTTCAGAATGTTCAAAACACTGCTTTATTGGACAATGCTGTGTATGGAGGTTTGGTTTGTTTTTAAAACATCAAGCAACACTACACTATATAAAGACAGCAAACTTTTGTAGTACAAGTTTTCAGTGTGTATACATTATTCTATTTATATTTAAGGACTTTAATGTGGATATGATAATGACAGCCATTAGAAGATGCTGTTTTACTAACATGACTTGAAATGGACAAAATAGAGGCAATGCATGCCATTGGTTCTGTCATACTGGCCTTTGGCTGTATTTGGGGACGTAATCATACAAAAAGTGCCTGTAAAATGGAGAAGGCAGCAAGTGAAACTAGAAAAAGATCCAAGTTATGTAAAGCAGAGTTTAAAGGAGTTACCTTTTAATTTTTTTTCTTCAATTATTTGAGAGCAGGAGGGAAGTGTAGAGGCATCTGAATTTGGGCCCTCCACTGCCATCCTGCAGTGAAACAGATTTGGATTGTTCATGGAGTCATCAAGAGAGCTAGCAACAGCCCCAAATAAGAGCCAGTTCTCCAAGTACAAGATGATGCAAAACAACCAACCACAAATTAGATACATGACACTTAAATCATGGATGAGAAAACAGAATGCAAAGATACCTAAAAATATAAATAAATATATTTAGCTGATTTTTTTACTCAAGAAACCCAGAGAACTGCTTTCAAAGCAATTACTTTCAACCACTTTCTAAATACTTACTATTTTGATTGTCATTTAATGCAGCACCTCAGTGTTTGCTGGTGGTGGAGATGGAATTTTACTTAATAGTCTCGTTAGAAACTATATCCTATTATGCTAAAGATCATTCCCTAGGAATAAACCAGGCATTGTACAAAATATCAAAACCTGCAAAGTATTATTTAAGAAAAACAAGGAATGTAGTGTTATGACAGTGTGGGGGGAAAAAAAACTATGCAAAACAGTCACATGGAAAGAAAGTATTTTAATTTTTAAATATCCAAGTTTGCTTAATTTCTGGTGAGCTGTTCAACACTGTTTTAAATATCCTGAATTAATAACTATACCAACAAAATTTATCCCCAGTGCTTCCACAGGAGACATTAAATTAAGACCAAATTATACTTTTCTTTTTCTTCAACCAAAGTAGTCTTTTTCTCAGTTCTTTTTGTGCAAAAATATTACAAGAGAATTCAAATGGAAACGCTGAAATGACATGCCAACATTTCAGGGCACATTTAAAACACTCAGAATAATTCTTGAAATTACTGTATTCTAAAATATCACTACCAATCACTTTTAGATTAGTTCAGTACATCTACTCACATGGATGCAATTTTCCTAGACCTCTGAAAATAAACAGGCTCATTGGTCTCTTTTGGTGTCCACACAATAGGCAAGATAGGTTTACAATAGTGTTTAAATGGAACTAGGCATCTACAGTCTCTTAATTCCACCACATTCAAAACAAAAGTCAAGAGTTCATTTGGCTATCTTGAGATCACTCCCATAAACCTACTACGGTTCACTGGATCTAAACATTTCTCAGAAATGTGTCATTTTATTATTTCACCTAAGTGATGATTTGGGGATCCTTTAGAAATGGTTAATGCCTAAGATAAACTTTATCAAAATGAATAATTGCAATAAAGTGCTTGTTACATTTCAAAATGATGCTTTTAGACTGCAGTATGTTAAGTGTGTGCTATTCCTCCTATAAAGGATCCCCAGGCATGAGAGTCTGGTCTTCTCACCTGTCTCAAAAAGCAGCAGCACTATCTTTTGGTAGGCTGACAATAGGCACATTACCCATGCGGACGAGGCTATACTAGGGCTATGGCAAAAAGGGGAGGAAATTAGAAAAGTGGGAAGCATGTGGAGGGTTTCTACTATACTCATAGTTATATACAAATATATTAAATATGCTATAAAAATAGTCAACTCTTTTCCTTTGCAATGACTTCAGAAGCTCCTTTTAAAAGAATGCTCACCCAATTCAGACAAACTTAAAAAGATCTCTCTCTCCAAATCACTATTAAAATGGCAAGTGCCTTTGTGCTGTGTTTTCTCCACCACTGAAAAGTTCCAATCAGCTTTCTCCTGGCTAGATGCACTCAGCAATATCAATATCCAGTGTTTATACTTTCCAATGTGGACTCCTGTGGGACTAAGAACAGGGCCACAGATATAGGAAAGGTTGTAGACTTGAATGAGCTTTACACAAATGTTCAAACAAATCTTCAATCACCAAAGAAATAAAAAAGGAAGAAAAACTAAAGTTAAATGCTATCTGTAGTCCACTTAAAAGTTTGCCTCAATGTAGTGGAAACATTTTCAAACATAAAGAATAATGTCCAGTTGAAAAGAATTTCTACCTTTTTAGGCTATTTTCAGGGTCCTTTTCTAAGGCTTCTTGAATAAGGGTTCATAGCTCCCTTCAACACAATGCCCTTTACAGAGCTGGACTGCTTCAGTGCTCCTAACTTTAAGAGACTGCTTTAAGGCAACAACCAACAACTACAGCACATCTGAAGAATTCAAACACACACACTATTCTGCACTAAATATTCTCTAACAAACTAGTCAAGATCACTGGCATCCTTTTATTACTAGTACATTCCTAAGCCACATCTAAGTGACAAAGCAGAGCACATCACTCTAAAATTACCCCCTGAATTTAGGATGTAGTTCGGAAAACTGAACTGTATTTACTTTCACACTATACTGCCCCTTCCACCCCATTCACCACATTTACTTTTCTGCCCATATTAAACTCAAAACAAAAACAAGTACTTTTCAAGTGTCTAGGTTCTGGTGTGACATTACTCTCAGCAGCAACTTTATTAATCCCTGCGGTTCTCATTTGTATTTGCTAGGCAATACTGGCTCACACTGTGCCCCAATAGTCCACAGAAAGATAACTGCAGGGGGGCTGGCATCTTTCCTTTATCTCCACAGTTTCTTATCTAAAAAGTGCCACCCAGAATAAAATGTTTTTAAGAGAAACTGAATCCCTGTGAGAGTAAAGCAGAGGGAAGCTGAAAAGGGTTCCATTTGGTATCTTTTCATGATTTAGGTTTGGGATTTGAATTAACAACTTTGGCTATGAAAATGGAATACAGAACAGACAACTGCTGAATCTCCCTCTCAATGCTTAAGTCTCACAGGGAAGGAAGGGGACAGGGACTAGCCTTGCAACTCAAATTTAGGAGAAGCACAAGGAAACCAAAGTAGAGAAGGGGCAGCTTCTGCTGACCAGTTTTTCCAACATAATACTCCATACTGACAGCAAAGGAAAAGCATGGCTGCTTCTTTAAATTTAGCAACTGTAAATTTCAAGCAGGAAAAAGATGAATCATGAAGAACAACAGGAATTGTGACATAAATTTTTTTTCTTCCCCAAATATTCAGTTAAGATGGAAAATATTTAAAGAAGTTAAGAGTTGAAGAATGTGAGTTAAACAAACAATCTTCAGATTTACTTTGTGGCCTGTTTTGCTTCTGTTGAGTACATGGTATTCATAGTTCATAATCTTTCTTTTAAGTATGGTACTTAGAGGGCAAGCCTTAACATAATAGTTCATATCTTTTGTTAGCTAAGTCCTTATCACTAGGTATTGCCAATAAATAAATGAGGCACAACTCAAGATTTATACGGAATGGCATAAGGTCAAGAAAGGCAATTTGGAAGGGGAGAAAAGCAATGCTATTGCCATATTTTACAACACTGATTTTGCCATGTGCACGTATGCTCAGGTACACACATTCTGACAACCATTCTTGACATTCATGGGAATGTCAGGAATCTCTTCTGGATGATCATTTAGCTAGAACTCCATGATATGTTAATTACTAACTGGTATCTAGTCACACTTCTTTTGTAGAAGGGTAAGTACCATTTTCTTTGGTTGTTTTCTTTTACAGTATTAATTTTCTAATTTAATTATAGACAGTTATGGTTTTGTTTTTGTTACAGAAAAACAATATGTCCCTCAAGGATAATAGCAAAGCTAAGGACAGAACTGACTTGGCATTCCCCTGAGCCTTCTATCTAGTACTTCTGCAGTAGGTGATTTTCATTGCACAAAACCATTTCAGTTTAACAACTTCAGTTCTGTTACATTTTCTTTTAAGGTCAATTTTGATTTATTACATTTGTCCTCCCCTTTTTTAGCAATAATTTTTTATATTATAATAAGAAATTTCCACTAATCTTTTGTTCTATAGTTGTAAATTTCAGTATTAGTACCATAAAATCTAAAAAATTACTATTTTTAATATATGTAACTTGTGTTGAAATTTATTACCTTTAGAACATGATATTGCCAGATGAAATCTTAGTTCATGTTTACAAAGCATGTGAGTTACAATATCCCAATGTAGTGAAGGCAAAGCCAATACTTGCCCTTTTTGGGTAAAAATATCAATATTATATTGAGCCAATATTTACTGGTAATTCTTAAATGACTGTTTAGGGTTTTTTGTTTTGTTAGGTTTTTTTGGGGGGTCTTTTCTTTTGGAGGAGGGGTACCTGGGTTTTAACTCAGGGGTGCTCAACCACTGAGCCACATCTCCAGCCTTATTACATATTTTATTTAGAGACAGGGTCTCACTCAATTACTTAGCACCTTGCCATTACTGAGGCCGGCTTTGAACTCGCAATCCTCCTGTCTCAGCCTCCCTAGCTGCTGGGATTATAGGCATGCACCACCACGCCCAGCGACTATTTAATTTAGGAAACAAATTTGGGAACCTTTAAAGTGTGTAGTGTTAGGTTGTCATCTTTTTTATTTCTAAATTATTTGTACCCCAGTCCAAAAGACTCACAGCAGTCTTCATAGGAACTTAGGAGAATAATGACACTGACGCCCACATGCTGTTAAAAATGTACTAAGGTTTCAAAAACTGCTACTGAAACCAGACAAGTTCAAGATGGTGAGTTATCACCTGAATTAAAATCAAGGCACTATGGGTTTCCCCCCCCTCAAATAACCCTGAATCATTTCTGACTAAAAGAAGCATTGAAATTGTGAAGGATAATAAAAAGATTCCAACAAATCCTAAAAGTTAAAAATCCCACCATTGGGAATGTTAAAAAGTGCCTATGTTTGTGTGCAAATTTTATTCCTATAACTGAAACATTCTTGAAATTACTTTCAGGCTTGTTGAAAACCATTTACATAAATATTTGCAACAATGAAATATATCAAAATATGTGATCAAACTCCCAACCATCTAAAATAAAGCAGTGCAAATCCTATTTTCAAACAAAAATAATGAAATGAGGGATATTTCTGAATAACTTGAAAGTCTTGTTGTATCAATAATTTAACCTGAAAAAAAATCCATTCCCAGCAGCACATCATACCTCACTGAACAAACTGTGACATCACAGCCAAAGTATGAACAAAAAGACTTGTGCCCTGGAAAAGTGAATAGAACACTATTATGTTGTAAACAAAAGGAAAAACAGAGACTGATGTATCAGTTTGTACATGGTGTCGGAATCTAATGAAATGTACTCATATGGAAGAGAGAATGCTTTCATGCAGCTTACACAATGTTTTGCTTTCTCTCCTTCATCCAGACATATACATATTTTTACAGTATCTGTACACAAAAAATTTAAATCCACACAACATTCTGAAATTACTGTTCCATCATTATCTGAAAAGGGAGAGGGGCTTAAGGTGGGGGCTATTGACTACTAGATTATCTTCATGGCATCATTGTAAGCAAACCCCTGACATGGCAGTGGTGTGTCCTCTGTAACACTTGGTAACAGGCACAGACCACTAGAAGTGACTAACATTGTTAGTGCCTTTCTCATTCACTGGAGGTCATTTCATAGCTGAGCTTCTTAACATTTGGCAATATACTCTTTTTCCATCAAAAAATATCTGGGCAACTGAAACACTGTCAGAATTGGCTATGTCCCTATGATCATCTTCTGCTGGCTGGTATTTAACGTACATCTATAGCACTAGGCACATTTTCCCTACCAACTAATTCCAGGAACTAGAACACTCAATACTGTATCTCATGAAACTTCTGGAACTTTTCCTCCTAACCTCAGGTCATCTGAGAAACATTTATGGACCACCACCTTCCTCCTTTGGCGCTGGAGGAAGTACTTGTGCTACTGTGATTGAACCTTAGAAGGATCAGTCAAACTGTCAGTCCTGTGCCGACTAAGTTGCTGCTGTTGCTGAGACTGGTGTTGCTGGTGATGTGACTGAGAGAAGGTGCTCTGTTGTAGTGGAAACGCAGCAGAGAGGATGAGCTGAGTTGAAGGATTCCCATGGAGCAACCTAGAAGTCTAAAAAAGAAAAATCAATGTATTACCCAACATTATTTTACCCTCTCCATTATACTGTGCACATAAGATTTGCTAAAGTTGTGCACTATCCAAGGGACATTTTTGCTCTCTAAGATTAAAATCATATTTTTGCATGCTTAAGAAGCTTTTCCTTTCTGAAAATATAATAAAAATTTCACTTTTCGAGGGAATCTGCACTGGAGATTTCATGGTATAGAAAGCAACTAATGTCTTGAGAGAAACCACACATTCTTAGGTGTTACAACAAAAACAACCCAAACCAAAAAGGCCCAGGATCTGTAGTCAGAAGCCCCGCATTTGGGTTTTGCTCTGCCATTTACAAGTTACCTGACCTGATGCAAGTCTCAATTCTATGCCCCTCAATTTCTTTTACCAAGTTTTTACTTCTGGTATATTATATGATATATATGAAACTAGCTAAAAGAAAGTTAAGATTTTAAAGTCCTTCCCAAAGACAATACATTTGTTGCAAGATTCTTAATTTTAAAATGGAGTTGTTGTGGGTGATGTTTGTGAGTGTGTATGAAGGAGACACACACACACACACACACACTCTCTCTCTCTCTCTCTCTCTCTCTCTCTCTCTCTCTCTCTCTCTCTCTCTTTCTCCCTTAAACCTGAAAGCCCATTAAGCTTTTGGTAAGTACTTTTAGAGTTTTTTTTTCTCTCTGTTATTAGCAAAACTCTGTGTGAGATGAATTCAGGATATGTAGGAGCCTTACAGGATTACAATTTAAGTACATTTTGGGACAGAAACAATTTTAAAAAGCAAACTGTACATTTATTATACACAAGTAAGTATATTTATGAAGGGCATCACTCATCTTTTTTTATGGATATCTTTAGGTGCCTTTTTTGAGAGAATCAAGAAAGAGAAGGTTAATTCTTTTAGAGGTCTTTCTTCCTTGATAGACTGAGATCTTAAGGCAAATCCCCTTTTTAATATAAGTTTCTGCTTAATTATCATTGGATATATTTCCCTTAGATAATAGTTTAGGACTTTATTAATGGCTACAGTACAGACTTAAGGTCTAAGAGACTGTATGACTACCAGATGTATTTTGGCAACTAATCTGTTTTTGTCTTCCACATCATCAAAACAAGGATTATATCTGGACTAGGATACAAACAGTGATAAATTAAGGTTGTATTTACTTTTTAATATATACTATACTTTTGAATATTCTAGTTGTATAACTGTGAAATTGATGACAAGTGTCTGTTCCAGATGAGGTGGTCTCCAGTACAAATCAAGGCTAATCTACATACAAACGTGCTCAAGGTAAAAGGGAAGGGAAAGAGCTGGACTTCCAAGTGAGGGTACTGAGATCCAGAGACTGTTTATTTCTTTGCTGACAACCCTGCCATAGGTAACTTATGCTGTAACCTTTAGATAAGGAGATCCTATATAATTTACCCACATATCTGTTCTTTGGTTAATCTGAGTGTTTATTACATTTGTCAACATAGTGGTTATACATGACAGCTAGCTAGGTGCATTATACTACAATCAGCTATTTATACTTTTTAAATATCTGTGAACTATTATCACATCCAGGCAATAAGTGAGGCTTGGTCAGTTTAACTTGCCAAAGGTCACACAATATGTGGTATAGCAGTGACACAATCTCAGGACAGTCTGATTTTAGAATCCAAGTTGTACTATAACACATACTGTGTACTGCCATTATTTCTCCTCTGACATTATTTATAACAGAAAAATTCTAATAAACTTTATTCCAACAAAATAATTTAAGATAATATGTAGGCTGATACAGAAATCCCTTTTATACCCCTGCTTATGCAGGACAGAATTTGTTGGGTATTGAGAAAGGAAATAGACAGAGAAAGGAATCTTTGCTTGACTTCCAGAAACTGTAGTTCCAGAGAGGAAAATAGGCTCTACAAAAGTACCCTCATATAGGCCCAAAATTACTTATTCTACCCAGCAGCTCAGATCACTTGGTATACCAATGGAAGGGCTAAAAGTCTTTCAATGAAGAGAAGGAAAACAATGGCTACCCAGGACAAGCTTTCTATCTTCGTAGAAATTTAAATTGTACATAAGCTTTTATGAGTTTTTGAGATAATTTACAAACCTTTCATTTAGCACCTAATTCTATTATAAATAGGTTTAAGGTGGCTTCTTGTAGGAAGAGTTACCTGTAAAAACTGCTGTGGTGTTTGAGTCAGTTGAGCCTGAGATGGTTGCTGAACTGGAGGAAGCTGCTGTTCCTGGGAACTCTGCTGCTGCTGTTGCTGTTGCTGCTGCTGTTGCTGCTGCTGTTGCTGCTGCTGCTGCTGCTGCTGCTGCGTTACTGACAGTGTCTGTGCCTGCTGCTGTTGTGCAGCAAAAGTAGGATAGGCAGTCACCACCTGACCCATGAGCATAGTACTAGGTACCATGACTGCCCCACAAGCTACAGGAGCAGTCACTAATTTGGTCACAAGTTGCTGACCTTGAGAAAATCTGTAGAGGAAAGAAAAAAGTAAAGTCAAATGTACAAAGTATACATCACAAAAAGGCAATGAGATGAACCCTTATCTAAGATAATAATACTGCCAATTTATTTTTATAAAAGCTATATGCTCCTATTTTGCTTTTGTTTTTAAAAATTCTCTTTGGGATTTCAGCAAGACATAAATGTATGTGGCAAAATCAACATATGACAACAAAAACAAATATAATAAAAAACTTTCTAAAATATCCATATTCAAAAGAATGAAGTGAATTAGTTCTTGATTAATTAGTTCTTTTGATTTACGTCATATGCAAAAATCAATTCAAAAGGAAGCAAACACCCAAACATAAAAGTTAAAACTATAAAACTCTTAGAAGCAAATGGGAAAAGTTTTGCGACATTGTAATTGGCAATGATTCCTTGGATAACACCAAAAGCACAGGTGACAAAAACGATAAATAGACTGCCCAGGCATGATGGTACACACCTATAAAACCAGCTGTTTGGCAGGCTGAGGCAGGAGGATCTCAAATTCAAGGCCAGCCTGGGCAATTTAGTGAGACCCTGACTCAAAATAAAAAGGGCTAGAGATGTAGTTCAGTAGTAGAGTGATTGCCTAGCAAGTACAAGGTCTCAGTTCAACCTTCAGTATCTCTCTATCTCTGTCTGTCTCTCTCTCTTTCTCTCTCTCTCTCTCACACACACAGATAAACTGGACTACACAAAATTAAAAATTTTATGCATCCAAGGGCAAAACTGACAGCATGAGGCAACTCAATAATGGGAAGAAATGCTTGCAAATCGTGTATCTGATTTATCTGGTTATTATAATAACCAGAACATATGAAGAATGAAAACAACTAAACAACAATCAACCCATTTAAAAAATGGACACAGGTCTAACTTGAATAGGTATTTCTCCAAAAAAGATATATAAATGGCCAATAAACACATGAAAAGTTGTTCAATATCATTAAGGAAATGCAAATCAAAACAAGAAGCAGCAGCCACCTTACACCCATCAGGATAGCTATTACAGAAAAATCCAACAAAAATAACCACTATTGGCAAAGATGTAGAGAAACTGGAACCTCTGTGTACTGCTGGTAGTATTGTAAAATGATACAGTCACTATGAAAGACCATATGGCAATTCCTACAAAAATTAAATAGAATTACCATATGAAGCAATCTACTCCTGGGCATATAATCCAAAAGAAATAAAGGGAGGGACTCAGATACTCTTATACCCATGTTCATAGCAGCAGTGAGTAATCATACCTAACAAAAGGTGGAAGCCACTCAAGTGTCCACTGGCAGGTAAAATCAATGAACAAAATACAGTATATAATACAATGGGATATTATTTCACCTTAGAAAGGAAGAAAATTCTGACACATGCTACAACATGGATGAACCCTGAGAACATTAGGCTAAGTGAAATAAGCCAATAACCAAAGGATAAATGCTGTATTTTGACTTACATGAAATACTCAAAGTAGTCAAATTCATATAGATAGAAAGTAGAATGGTGGTTGCCATAGATAAGAGGCAGGGTTGGGCAAGCTAGGAAGTTGTTTAATGGTTATGAAGAATGAAGACTCAGTTTGGAAAAATGAAAACAGTTCTGGAGACAGATGGTTAAGGGTAGAGTGACAACAGCTGTGTGAATATACTCAATGGCCCAACCATATACTTTAAAATGGTTACTATGGTAAATTTTTTAATGTATATTTTACCACAGTTAAAAAATTTTTAAACTGAAAAAAAATGAACTTTTTCTTTTCATAAAGTGGCTACGTATTTAGGAGTCAGATAAAGTGGCACATAGTTCAGGAACAAACTTAAAGCTACCATATGGTAATTTTTAAAAACTTTATATTTATGTAAGAAATGTACATTTAAAGGTGGTAACTTAAAAAACATAAATCAAGGGCTGGGGTTGTGGCTCAGCGATAGAGCACTTGCCTGGCACGTGCAGGACCCTGGGTTCGATTCTCAGCACCACATATAAATAAAATAACTACAACTAAAAAATAAATATTTAAAAAAACATAAATCAAAACAAATGAATAAAGTACTTATAATTTATAAATTTATCATATTATGGTGCCCACTGTGTTAGATTTTTTTGTTTTGGTAATAAAGATTGAACCCAGGTACACTTTACCACTAAGCTATATCTCCAGACCTTTTTTTGGGGGGAGGGGGGGGCTACACTCGAGTTGTAATCCAGAGGCACTTAACCATTGAGCCACATTCTTAGCCGGACCCCCTTTTTTAAATTTAGAGATAGGGTCTCACTGAGTTGCTTAGCACCTCACTGTTGTTGAGGGCAGCTTTGATCTCACAATCTTCCTGCCTCAGCCTCCTGAGCTGCTGGGATTATAGGCATGGGCCACTGCACTCAGTGTCCCCAGCCCTTTTTAATTTTTATTTTGAGACACGGCTTTGTCAAGTTGCTTATTACAGCCTCACTAACTTGCTGAAGCTGTCCTTGAACTTGCAATTCTCCTGCCTCAGTCTTCCAAGTCACTGGGTTTACAGACATGCACTACCACACCCAGTTCCTTGTTTTGTTTGAGATGGGTTCTTGCTAAGTGGCCTAGGCCATTCTCAAACCTGTGATCCTCTTGCCTCAACCTGTTCTAGGATGCTGGGATTATAGGTGTGTGACACTATGCCTAGCTCCTTCTTCTATTTTCTTAACAAAGACAAAAAATAATGTCTCTCTGGGGAGCAAAACTTTTTCCATTTCTTTCTGAGAAGAAGTTTCTTTCTAACATTGACAACTACAGCAAGGAAACAGATAAAATCATACTGTAGATACAGCATGACATAACCAAATTATAAACTATTTAAAGTAGGTACAAATATTAAGCTTAGTACACATGTACTTTATTTATATATTCACAGACAAAATAAATTTACTTTTATTTATTTACTTATTTGTTTTATGGTGCCAGAAATCAAACCTAGGGTGTTGTGCATGCTAGGCAAACATTATACCTCTGAGCTAAAACCCTATCCCCTAAAATAAATTTAGTTTGTGTCCATGCCAGATCTTATAAATAAAATACTGTATTTTATATACATCAGGGCCAAACACTTGAATGCAACAAACAAAAAACAACAAAGAAACAAAACAGATTTTAAAAAATTTCTGTGTAAGAAAGCTCAAAGAAACAACATGAACAAAGTATGTTTAATCACAGAAGAGCTAAGTGCCAATTTCTCTGTAATCTTAAACAAAATTAATACCTGAATTGCAACGAGTCACTTTTAAAGATAATACTTTATCTATCTCATCCTAAGACATTCTTTAATCTACTTATGCTCAACCACACTCTGTGGCTTTGTATATACTGTTTCCTCTGCCTAGAATTCCTCCTTGAATTCCTTGCCACAGGCAAACTCAAGGCCAAGCTCTTTAAGACAGGCCAAGTATCTCCTCTGTAGTGAAGCTTTCCCTGACCACTCCCCCCTTGCCTGCCTCAATTCATAAAACTGCTCACTTCTTCCCTTCTAAAAGCCTACTAAGTATTCATTACACCAAATAATATGACTTGTTTCCCTTTCTATTACTTTTTAAAAAATTTTTTTAGTCATACATGACAGCAGAATGTATTTTGACATATAATATATACATGGAATGTACATACATCAATCATATTGTCTATTCTATTCTGCTGCCCTTCCTATCACCCCTACTCCTCCCCTCCTCTCCCATCCTTTCTCTATATCCAATCTAATGTGACACACTTTTTTTTCTTTTTCTCATTACAACATCATATATGTATTCTGTATAACAATGAGGTTCTCCTTCCATCTTCCATGCAACTCCCCTTCTCCCTCTTTTTCCCTCCCACCTCTCTTCCCTATTTAGTGGTAGTCTTCTTCTCATGTTCTTCCTCTCTATCCCATTTTGAGTCACCCCCCTTATATCAGAGAAGACATTCAGCATTTGTTTTTTAGGGATTGGCTAACTTCACTTAGCATAATCTGCTCTAATGCCATCCATTTGCCTGTAAATGCCATGATCTTGTTATATTTTAGTGCTGAGTAATATTCCATTGTGTATAAATGCCTCATTTTTTTAATCCATTCATCTATTGAAGGGCATCTAGGTTGGTTCCACATTCTAGCTACTGTGAATTGTGCTGCTATAAACATTGATGTGGCTGTGTCCCTGTAGTATGTTCTTTTTAGGTCTTTTGGGTATAGTCCGAGAAGGGGAATAGCTGGGTCAAATGGTGGTTCCATTCCCAGCTTTCCAAGGAATCTCCATACTGCTTTCCAAATTGGCTGCACCAATTTACAGTCCCACCAGCAATGTATGAGTGTACCTTTTCCCCCAAATCCTTGCCAGCACTTATTGTTTTTTGACTTCATAATGGCTGCCATTCTTATTGGAGTGAGATGGTATCTTCCTTTCTATTACTTTTACTACTCTGGTCTTTCCTCAAGGGACAGGACTATGCCATATACAAATATGGTAGGCTTCATATGTCTGCTGAAATGTTTTCCTCTCCTCAAGAAACAGATATATATGTACAAAGAGTTACTAAACTGCATCCTCTAAAATGTATGTCAGCATTCAAATTTAATGTCTTTCCACTCAGGCTTTAAAATTAGTCCTAGCATGTGCAAGGCTCTGGGCTGAATCCCCAGCAACCTAAACAAAAATCAGTTCTCTGAATTTCATTGGAGCACATTTATAAGACTTCCTCTTCAGGATATGAGAGTTAAAAGTTGAAACTTTTTTTTAAGTTGAGGGAAATAAGCTTCAAAGAGAAGTAAAAAATCCTCTATTTTCACTGTCTAGTAGTAATCTTGCAGCTTCTTTCCTATGGAAACTATTAACATGATTTTAATAAAATTATGCTTAATAATACAGAAAACTGTATATAAAAGAAGAACTTTTGAAATAAAAATAAAAGCATTTAAAATTGCAAAGATCCTATCGTTTTTATTTAAAAAGATAGCTTCCCAGTATAAAAACAGAAACAGAGTTTTCAAAGAAATGCTAAGCCAGCTATTTGAACTTCTTACTAAAATAAGTCATAGACTATTGTTTGTCTAGAACAGCACACAAAAACTTCCTGTAGTATATATGTTTATGCAATGGAACTTTGAAACCAGACACCCAGGTCCAAAGCCTCCTCACTGACTTAACCAGTGACAGGCCCTTGTCTAAATTATTAAAAATTCACTTTTTCTTGGGAAAAAAGATCTGAACATACATTTTAAAAAAATGAAATAATATATTTTGAGCACTTAAATACTTTGAGAAGCTACCCTAACCACTGTTACTACATGAAAACTCACTAACATCTATATCTTAAAGATTAGTATCACATAGCCCTTGTATAACAATGAGCTGCAGAATTTGGATTCTGTGATATGTGGTAACTCTTTTTTTTTTTTTGGCGGGGGTATTGGGGATTGAACCCAGGGGCACTTAACCACTGAGCCACATCCCCAGAACTTTTTTTTACAGGGTCTCACTAAGTTACTTAAGGCCTTGCTAAGTTGCTAAAGCTGGCTTTGAACTTGAAATCCTCCTGCGTCAGCCTCTGGAGCCACTGGGATTATAGGCGAGCAGCACAATGCCTGGGCTAGTAACTCATGTTTAGAGAACAAACAAAATTTGGTACTCTTTTATTATAAAATCTTTAAACAATGGATGTATCTTTTTAATTTCAAATTTAAGAACCATGGCTTCAATGAGCAACAAACTAAAATCATGTTTTAAAAAAATCAACTTATCAGATATTTTTGTTTTGTGTTTTATAGTGCTAGGATTGAACCCAGGGCCTTGTGCATATTAGGCAAGCACTCTACCACTGAGCTATGTCCTTAGTCCCAAATCACTGCTTTAAATTAATCAATTTACAACTCTGAAAATAACAAATGAGGTATGACAACTACCTTATCTGTCTGTCCTGAGTGAATGTAGTTACTGCAGCACTCTGGGTACTGTTCTGTGGCATACTGGATGGAATCTGGACCATGCTTCCAGCTGCAGGCTGAGAAATCACCATAGTATTATACAGTGGGGCTGTAAGAGTGCTCTGCGTCTGACTGGGAAGAGACGTTTGCTGACTGTGCCCACTCAGTACACTTTGTGGATTCTGCTAGAAAAGAGAAGGTTTTACAGAAAGATTAACTGAGCAAAGTTATTTGGGAAGTATGCTTCTACTAGTCACTGTTTTAACAACTAACCTAACAGTGTGTGGAAGGACATATTACTCTGAAAGAGATCTAATTACAAAGGAATGACTGGTAGTAACAATGAATTAGTACTGACTTCCCTGTTAGAAGGTAAGCTATAACTTTAAAAGGAGTGTGAGCCTAACAGTGATGACAGAAAACATACATGAATGAGTGACTGATGGTTAGGTATATTTATTCATTTTTCATTTTATATTTTTCATCTATAGTCACAAATATACACTACATACCAGAATTTTATGGAATGTTAGTTAAACCACCACTGATCTCAACAGTCTATTATGTACATGTGAGATATGAGAACATGTTTCCTGATCAATCTCCTTTGCAAAATTTTAACATATGGTAGTAGTCTTTAAGTTATAAGAAAATTGTATAATTAGGCTAAATCCTTAAACAGATCATAAAATTTTTAAAATGTCAAAATAGAGGAAATATTTAACATGAACATAATTTTGTACAAAATATTTTAGTGATCATCTCAGTATTTTGTATTCTAATTACTATTACATTTTAAAAGATGGCGTAAGATAGGACTTTATTTTCGTTTTAATATTAGTTCATACTTCAATTACTCAACATTCCATTTCCCGTTGTACTTGACATTACCTGAGTAGATGTACTCTGTAAAGTCTGTTGTTGTATCATGTGCGGACTTGTACCAATATGTCCAGTATTCATTCCACTTTGAATTTGGTTAGTAGAAACAACCTGGCCTTGCATATTTACAGGTGTGAGTTGCTGGATGTTAGATGAATTTCCAGAAGTAAGCTGAACAGAACCAAAGTTCAACCCAGGGTTTGACTGCTGCAAAAACATCTGTGAAAAGAAAAGATTACATTTAAATGAGCTTTTTTTCTTTTTTTGGTGGGGGGGCAGTGATGGTGCTGGGAATTAAAGACAAATGATAGCAAACATAGTTTCAAACCAAGTTTAAAAGACAATAAATAACAACATCATAAATCATTTTGATTGATCAAAAATAATTAGTAAATAAAATGTGAAATTTCACATTCATAATTCCAGTCATCCTAACCTATTGTGTTTCCAATTGTAGTGTAACTCAGTGCCACTCAAAGGTCTGTGGACTGGTGGCTTTGTATCATCCATCATTTATAATTTATGAAATTAGGCAGAAATAATTCATTTAAAGTTTTCCTTTACCAAAGTTCTAGTCACCTAGAATAGTACTGTTGGTTGGATGAGTAAGACAAATATGAAACATACCTATTGGTATTTACTATTACTTACAAATTCTGCACCTTAAAACTTTTTTTAAAAAATGTAACTTTTCTATTAAGGATGTAAATACTAAAATTTGGATTTCAGTAATCTGGAAAAACAAGGATGCTGGTGGAAATATCCTTAGGAATGAATATCTTTGGAGAAAGTAAATATAATCATATTGATCATGTAATTAATGGGTATTTACGGAATGGAATCTGGGAAATGCATCTTCTTTTCATTAAGAAAAGCCAGTTTCCTAGCCAAAAAAAAATGTGAATGGCACACTTTCTTTGCACTCAAAAAAAAACAACAAAAAAAAAAAAACACATTAACTTGCCTGCAGCCCTTGACCATGGACCATTTGAAGTTGTTCTTGAATTTTCCTTAGTTCTTCTTGTTGCCGATGAATATTTGCCTCTATCATCCGTGTCCGTTGCTCCAACTGGTCTTTCAGATGCTGCATGGCTCCTAGCTGCGCTGAAAACTGAAACTGAAGTACCACATGTGGAAAAAAGTATAAAATATTTTAGAAATACTTGCTTCTTTTAACTGTGCAATGTGAAAAATAAGCAATATACCATGAATTAGGAATGTTATGTCAGTTATGTATTGCCTCTCAACTTCTAATCTGCCATGTTTGCTTTGTGACATGGGACCTAGGACTTTCTCCTTTGCTAGCATGTACAAATTAGCCATGTCAGCAGATGGTCCTAGAGGGCAATGCAAACAAAGGTGCTTATTTTCCTGCTTCTGGTGCTCTTCCTTCATGTTCATATATCAGTGGTGCCAGTGGAAGGCTTTTCAGTGAGTCTCAACAGCACCTCAGTAAGTCTCAATGATACCTTAGTGGGCTGTAAGTTTCCCACAGCAGGTGATTTCCTGCTCTCCAGACCTCCTTTGTGCAGCTATTTGAACTTTTCCATCACCCAGTGGCTATAGCCATGCCTCCCCAAAATGAGATATGACTCTCAGCCTGGCATAGGGGAAGAGATGTTTGGTCAGTTAGTGGAAATCCTTCAAGTCTGTCTTCCTTGGGTGCTTTCCCTGACATCTAGTTAGTGGCTGCTGTCTACATCTCCTATTCCTGTATTCTTCAGATTTTCTTAATTACTAGTTAATACTTTTAAAAAATATTATCCCTGTTCAAATTTCTGGTTTGCTTTTGACTTCTGAGTGGATCTTGAATGTTTACAAGTATACCTGGAGTTAGAAGACTGGATGGAGTTCAAATGGTGGCTCAGTTACTTACTAGAACAAATTACTTTTTATGTTTGTGTCTATTCTTCACCATGTGGAAATGGAGCCTATACCTAGAATTCATTCATATCAAATTCTGTCATTCCTACAATGTCCTTTTACTTGCATTATCAGTAGAGATACCTAGAGTGACAAAAATCTGATAGATAACTAACATTACTATTTTCACTCATGTTTTCAACTGATACTGTCATCAGACAAGTTTAAAGCAGGCTTTTAAAGACTAAGCAATTATGAATAAATGCATGTATTATGTAGGAAAACAAAGTTACTCTACTTCCAGGGCTTTCAATCTTATTTCTCTATAATTTACACTTAAGTAATAAATAGTACCTGTTTTCTACTGCTTGTAATTTAGCCACATTTGATAATTCACCTCTTAAGTCAACATAGTCTCATTTGATTATTTCCATGAATATCCAGTACATTATATAGTATAAGGGCAGAAAAAAATTTCAAGTTACTGAAAATCTATTTTAAAATATTCTCCTACAGTGAACTGTATGGTTTACCCCATGCTTTTTTATCCTATCTTCAAAAGTTTGTATTAAGGATACTGAAGACTACTTTCCAAAGTATACAAACTTAACTTCTGAAGATGACAAACAACAGACCATATTATATATACATTAGATTCTACTAGGTTTGAGAAAATATTACAAATTTAGTATCACAACTGCTTCATGTCTTTTTTATATTAGTCAAAATACAAACATAAACAAAGGATTACAGGAAATAAAATTATAGAACAAAAAGACAAAGTATTGGAGCTTTATTTGTGAATGAAATGTGAAATTTGAATGCTTACTAGTATGTTTGACATAGTACATTACTTATTGCATAAAAATATCCCTATGTTATGAAATGCTTGGGCTGTGGATATAGCTCACTAGGTAGAATGCTAGTCTGTTAGTACTTGAAGACAAATAGCATTTAAAAAATTTTTATTTGTTCTTTTTAGTTATACATGACAGTATAATCTATTCTGATACATTCATACAAACATGGAATATACCTTATTTAATTAGGATCTCAGTCTTGTGAATGTACACAGTGTTAGGATTTACTGTGGTATATTCATATATGTAGACAGGAAAGTTATATCAGATTCATTCCACTGTCTTTCCTATTCTTATCTTCCCTCCTTTCCCTTCATGCCTCTTTGTCTAATCTACTGAATTTCTATTCTTCCTGCGTCACCCCTCTTGTGGGCTAGCATCCACACATCAGAGAGAACATTCAACCTTTGTTTTGAGGTGACTGGCTAATTTCATTTAGCTGACAGTCTCCAGTTCCATCCACTGGTTGGCTAATGTCATAAAGTCACTCTTCTTTATGGCTGGGAAATATTCCATTGTGTATAGATACCACATTTTCTTTATCCATTCATCTACTGAAGGGCACCTAGGGTTGGTTCCACAGCTTAGCTATTGTGAATTGAGGTGCTATAAATATTCATGCAGCTGCATCACTGTAGTATGCTGATTTCAAATCCTTTGGATATATACCAAGGATTCAGAGAGCTGGGTCAAACGGTGGTTTCATTCCTAAATTTGAGGAATCTCCATACACCACTTTACAGAGTGGTTACTCTAATTTGCAGTCTCAGCAGCAATATATCAGTTACCCTTTCCCCCACATTTATTGTTACTTGAATTCTTAATAACTGCCATTCTGGCTGGAGTGAGGTGAAACCTCAGTGTAGTTTTAATTTGCATTTCATTTCCCCAGTAGTTAGAGATATTGAATGGGGAAGTTAGTTCCTAAGCTGACAATGTTGGAGTGCTGGGCCTATACTTTCCTCTAGTAGCTGCAAGGTTTTTGGTCTAATATCGAGGTCTTTGATCCACTTTGAGTGCAGGATGAGAGGGGTTAAATTTCCTTCTATTATATATGGATTTCCAGTTTCCTAGCACCATTTGTTGAAGAGACTCAACAAATGTGTGTGTGTGTGTGTGTGTTTTGGTGGTAGTTTTGTCTAGTATGAGATAACTATATTTATGTGGGTTTGTTTCTGTCTTCTATTCCATTGGTCTTCACACCTCTTTTGGTGCCAATACTATGCTGCTTTTGTTACTGTATCTCTATGGTATAATTTAAGGTCAAGTATGACTGCTTTAGCTATTCTGAGATTCTTATTTTTCCAAATGAATTTCATGACTGCTTTTTCTAGTTCTATGAAGAATATCATTGGAATTTTAATAGGCATTGCATTAAATCTGTATGGCACTTTTGGTCGTATGGCCATTTTGACAATGTTAATTCTACCTATCTAAGAACACAGGAGATCTTTCCCTCTTTCTAATTTCTTTAGTTCTGTAGTTTTCATTGTAGAGGTCTTTCACCTCTTTTGTTAGGCTGATTCCCTAGTATTTTTTTTTTTAAGACTTGTAAAAGGGGCAGTTTTCCTATTTTCTCTTTTAGCTGATTATCATTGGTGTATAGGAACGATTTATGGGTGTTAATTCTGTATACTGCTACTTTGCTGAATTCATTTTGAGTTCTATAACTTTTCTGGTAGAGTTTTTTGGGTATAAAATATAGGATCATGTTGCCAGCAAACAGGGATAATTTAAGCTCTTCTTTTCCTATTCATATCCCTTTAATTTCATTCTTTTGCAGAGTTTTCAGGACTATGCTAAATAAAAGTAGTGAAAGAGGGCATATCTGTCTTGTTCCAGTTATTAGAGGGAATGCTTTCAGTGTTTCTCCATTTAGAATGATGTTGGCCTTGGGTTTAGAAATATAGCTTTTATAATGCTAATGTTCCTACTATTCCTAATTTTTCTAATGTAATGAACATGAATGGATGCTGGGTCAAATGCTTCTTCTGTGGTTCTTGTCTTTAAGTCTCTTTATGTGGTGAATTACATTTATTAATTTCTGTATGTTGAACCAACTTTGTATTCCTGGGATGACACCTACTTGATCCTGGTGCACTATTATCTTTTTAATATGTTTTTTTAATGAGATTCACCAGTATTTTATAAGAATTTTTGCATCTATGTTCATCAGGCATATAGGTCTGAAGTTTTCTTTCCTTGATGTGACATTGTCTGGTTTTGATACTAGCTTCATAGAATGAGTTTGGAAGGGTTCCCTCCTTTTCTATTTCATGGAATAATTTGAAGAACACTAGTGTTGGTTCTTCTTTCAAGGTGTGGTAGAACGTGGCTGAGAATCCATCCAGTCCTGGGCTTCTCTTTGTTGGTAGGCTTTTCATGGTGTTTTCAACTCCATTACTTAAAGTTTAAAAGTTTCTATGTACTCCTGGTTTGATATGGGTAGGTCATATGTCTCTAAAAATCTGTCGATGTCTTCAAGATTTTCTAATTAACTGAAGTATAAATTTTCAAAATAGTATCTGTTATCCTTTATATTTTTGTAGTGTTTGTGGTAATATTTCCTTTTTCATCACAAATTTCAATGATGAGTTTTCCCCTCTTTCTTTTGGTTAATTTGACTAAGCTTATTTTTTTCAAAGAACCAACTTTTGTTTTGTTGATTTTTAAAATTTCACTTTCATTGATTTCAGCTCTGATGTTAATTATTTCCTGTCTTCTACTGATTTTGGTGTTGATTTGTTCTTTTTTCTAGGACCTTAGATGTAATGTTACGTTATTTATTCGGTGTCTTTCTATTCTTTAATGAATGAGCTCAATGCTATGAACTTTCCTCGTAGAACTGCCTTCATAATGTCCCAGAGATTTTGATATATTGTATCACTAATCTCATTTACCTCTATGTATTTTTTCATTTCACCCTTGATTTCTTCTGCTGTCTATTCGTCCTTCAATATTGTACTACTTAGTCTCCAGGTACTAGAATAGCTTCTGACAAATAGGATTTGAGGACTAAATTGTAATACCTAACAAAACTGTGATGTTATAAAATCCTTATATGATAACATATTATTAGAAATCAGAATTATAAAAATATTTAATGATAAGTCTTAAGATTTTATATTTATTACTATTAAGTAGTATTCTTAACATATCTGAGGCACTGAACAAGTTATAAATCACAAGTTAAAATGTTACGATCAAAAGTAACAGCATCACTTTTGGAATCACCCTTGTCTTGCTTATTTATAGACCTTCATTGGGTTGTGGGCCAGGAAACAATTCTCCTAGAAAGTTTTTCTTCACTTCTTCAGGCTGCATTAAGGGTCTATATGATGTACAGAGACTATATAATAGTATCATAATTAACTTTTTCGCTTTAGATGCAATAGCCTTTTAGTAAAGCTAATATAAATATTGTCAACACCTACAATTCCTGCTATACCCAGGAAATCAATAAATATCCTATATTTGAACACAAAAACTAAAATATGAATAAAGTTACTCAATTCTTCCAACATCCATAGGAAGAACAAAATGAACTGTTACACTTCACTTTTAATAACTTCATGTCTATAGTATTTTTCAACAGAGGATGTGGTGTTTTGGTATATTAAGTAGTACACTTCTTTGTTATACAAGACTGCCATGCATCTCAAAAGACACCTGGCACCTCTGGCCCATGTCTACTAAGGGCTTGTGGTACTCCATAATCATCGTATCAAACAAAAATGTCCTCAGACACTCTAAATGCCCCTAGTTAAGATTCATTGCACCTATAAGTGTAAATAAATATGCATGTGTACTTACATAGATATGTATATATATACACACACATAATAGTTATATTTTATTTATTTTAAATATATGTAAAACTATTTATAAACTTAATCATATTTACCTAAAACCGATTTATCATTTGTAAATACTCAACTAAAACAAACAAAAAATACCTGGGACATGCCTTGTGGAATTGGTAAATTTGCAGCTTGCGACATCACTGGCTGTGTTAATGATGGACCAACAGACTGGGAATTTATGGACTAGAAGCAAAATAAAAAATATCACTGAAGTGACACTCATTCTCAAATATGAGTACTTCCACCAGAAATATACACATGATATACTGATCACTGAACTTACAATATGCCTCATATTTTTGTAAATTGAGTACAGGTTATGTCTCCCTCTCTACACTGGAAAAGCCTTTTCCCTATTTATTTTGTATCTTCCAAGGCACTGCCGTAGTACCATGCATGAGGTCTCAGAAGTTGGCTGGACTTAACAATAGGTGATTGGTATCTGAATGTAGATATAAAATTGTTCTCAATTATCAGCTGTTCACAACTGGGAAAAAACAAAAAACAAACAACAACAACAAAAATCCCTAACATTTTACCTGAAAAATAACAAAAATGACTTATATGTATGGTAATCACTTCAAAAATTAAAGAAAAATCTTGAGTGTCATATACCAACTACTTTTTCTGAACATTTAGATAACTTTCCCTTTTAATTAATCTTTATTCAAAAGTATATTAACTATAGAGCTTACCTGGCTACTAAATGATGATCTCCTTTGAGCCATCTTTTCATGAGCTGGTAAATGTTGTCTGGGAGGAGTGCTAGTATCTGTTGGGATCTTTGTTGGTGTTGCTGAAGTTAGTCAATAAAAGAATAGCATTAATATTTAAAAATACAGTTTTCAAAGATCAATCTCAAAATGTAATTCAGTTAGTTGGTTTTCTAAATCAATAAAAGTAAAGTCCATGACTATGAAATTCATTTAAATTGCTTCTATCTTCTTTAAAGATTAAAAAAACACATGAAATTGAAAAAATTTCAATCTAAAAATAGTTACTAGTCATTCCCTGAAAAAGGGACTGATTCCAGGACTCCCTGTGGATACCAACATCTGTGAAGCTCAAAAGTTCCTGACACAAAATGGTGTAGTATTTGCACATAATCTATGCACATCCTTGTAAGTTCTTTAAATCTTCTCTAGATTACTTATAATACCTAATACAATACAAATACTATGTAAATACTTGATATATTCTATTATTTAGGAATAAGGAAAATAAAAAGAAGTCTGTACATATTCAATACAGATATAATTTTTTTAAACCATTTTCTATGTGCACTTGGTTGAATCTACAGACACAGAACTTTGATATGGAGGGCCAACTGTAACATAAGGACAATTAAGCATATCTTCCTAAAGAAAAACACTGCAAATTTTTTTTAAAAAACAAATTTAAAGAACATTTGCTGGCTTTTACAGTAAGAATAGTTTTGCAATAACAACATTATAACCTACATGTTTTATAGGCCACTTGATGATCTTAATTCTTTGCTAACAGTGAGCACTGTACCTCTTACTCACTGGAAAGGTTAATATACCTCAAAATTATAAAAATAAATTATAATTTTAGAGAAGCATTTGACAAATAACCTTTAACACAAACAGTTTAGTAGCACTCCCTTTAATGGAAGTTTAAGTTAAGGTACACACAGGAAGGGTCTGAGACTGCTGTATGAGATGATTTTCTTGAACTCCGGGAGGAGGCAGAAGGGGTTGGACTGTGATCAAATCTTTCCAATGCTTCCTTGAGACTGACTGTGTTTATGCGATTATCAGACCCAGAATCTTGGCTCTAAGGAAACAAAGAAATGTTTTCTTGAGGTTCAGTTTAGGAATCTCAAATTAGAAATACTGCTTACTAACAAAAAAATAAAAAAATAATTCATTTTTTTTACCTGTAAGACAAAACTACCTATGTAATATATAGTAGGTAAAGAAATGATAAATTTTCGACTCAGGAGACTAAAGGTAGGAAGATCGCAAGTTCAAGGCCAGTCTCAGAAATTTAGGAGGCCCTAAGCAACTTAAGTGAGAATCTGTCTAAAAATAAAAAATAAAAAGGAATGGGGATATAGCTCAATGGTAAAAGGCCCCTGAGTTTAATCACCAGTAACCCCCCCAAATAATAATAATAATAATAATAATAGTTATTATTATTATTATTATTATTTTTTAGTGGGGGAAACTGGAGATTAAACCCAGGGGCCCTTTACCACTGAACTATTTATTTTTCTACTTTAAGGTCCTAGAACTTTTTGTTTACTTATTATTTATTTTTTATTTTAAGGTTCTACTTTAGGGTCCTAGAACTTGTGTTGTTCTTCCTCATCTTCCCTAGGAGCTGGCATTACAGGTGTGTGCCACCATACCTGGCTTGAGAACTTATTTTGTAAAGCATGAAAGTTTTGGCTTCATTATCTATTCAAGGAAACAGCAAAAAGACAGAAGTTGGACTACACCTTACCATATACCATATACAAAAATTGAACTCAGAATGAATCAAAGACCTAAACATTGAGAGCTAAAATTATGAAACTCTTCAAGAAAACATTGAGGAAAGGTTTCATGATATTGGATTTGCCAATAAAATGACTTTTACCAAAGTTAAATGCATCAAATGATACTATGAAAAGAGTAAAGAGCTCCTATAAATAAACAATGAAAAACAAATGACTCAATTAAAAAATGGGCAAAGCACAAAATAAATACTTCTCCAAAGAAGATACACAAATGGTTAATAAGCACATGAGAAGATATTCAGCCTCACTAATCAGGGAAATGTGAATTAAAACCACAATGAGATATCACCTTACACCCATTAAAATGGCCACTATTAAAAAAAAAGAAAGAAAGAAAGAAAGAACGAAAGAAAGTAACCTGTGTTAGCAAGAATGTAAAAAATCTAAATTCCTGTGCCTTGATGGCATAGTCACAGTTTTGACTATGATGGCATAGTCAAAACAGTGTAGCACGTCCTCAAAACTGAAAAAAAAAGAATTATTGTATGACCCAGCAATTCTACAAAAAAGATGAAAGAACTCAAACAGTTATTTGTACATGTATGCTCACGGTAACATTAATCACAATGACCAAAAGGTAACAGCAACCTATAAGCAAAATATGGTATGTACATACAATGAAATATTACCCAGCTTTAAAAGGAAAGGAAATTCCGACACATGCTACAACATAATCAACTCAGACAACATTATGGCACATGAAAAAAGCCAGGACAAGAGGACAAATATTATATGATTCTACTCATATGCAGTAATTAGAGAAGTCAAGCTAAAAAAAAATACTAAGTAAAATGATGGCTGACAGGAGAATGAGAAGTTGTTTAGTGGGTTTGGAGTTTGGAAAGATAAAGAAGTTCTGCGCATGGATGGTAGTGATAACTGCATAACAGTGGGAATATATGTAACTACACCAAACTGTACCCTTTTCAATGGCAATTTTATATTGTTTCTTATCACATTAAGAAAGAAAAAAAAAGATAGTGATAACATTTTACTTTATATTCAAAATACTGTAATGACCTTTGGAACTCAGCATTTGATGGCTCAAAATCTTTACTCCAATTCTGATCTTTCTCCAAAATTTCAATATCCATAAGGAAGAATCATCCAATATCCTCTCTTATCCTACTTCTCAGCTTTGTACTCATCTCTAGTAATTTTTTCCCTTCCCCTACTTCCATCCCTCGGTCTCTGCCTGTACATCAACACTGTAGCACCTCTAAGAAAACAAATTAAAATACCACTTTAAGCCATACTCTTTTATTCTAGTTCAATTGCTCAAAGGTTCCTCTAGGAACAAGTGCAGTCTGACTAAAGGATCATGAACTTCAGATGGATATCCAATACTAGGTAGTAGCACTGTTTACGTTGGGCTCACTTTCCTACCCTTCACAATTATTCCATGCCTTTTCTTTTTTTTATTAGTTGTTCAAAACATTACATAGCTCTTGACATATCATATTACATACATTTGAACAAGTGGGTTATGAACTCCCATTTTTCCCCCATATACAGATTGCAGAATCACATCGGTTACACATCCATGTTTTTACATACTAGTGTCTGTTGTATTTACTACTCTTAAATCTGTCTCCCTATACCAGCCCTGCCTTATACAGATGAGAACATTTATCTTGCCACCATCAAAAATAAAAACTTATCTGCTAATATAGGATGTATATACAGTACACCTATCTTCTTTTCCTCCAAATTATAATAGAGCAAAGTGTCCTATCAAAAACTCTCATATGCAGCAGTAAAAAAGAAGTAAATACCTATTCTTACTGCAGGAGAGCTACTTAAAAGGGGGCACAATATATATATGTACACATATATACAAATCTGTATAAACCCATGCAAACATACACAAATAGTATGATCTCAAAGTTACTTGTGCTTAGGGGAAAAAAACAGGAGTGATATCACCCAAAGCCTTGTTTCCTCTACCCTAACTACTATTCATTCAGTCCTTCATTCTATTTGTCTCCTACTTCCACTGCTTCCTAGCCTTCTAAACCTCCCGCTTGCATTAAGTGTCTACAATTTTAAAAATGCTCTGTATTCTCAACCTCAGCTCTGAACATTCCTTCACAGGCTTGCTCTAACTAAAACCCATACTGTCCCAGAGGACAATACTTTCCTTGTAGTTTTCTTCAGCAGTGTCTATTCTATCTCTCACAACTCTCAGACCACAGCTCTACAAAAGTCCTTCTACTGATGGTTCCAGACCACTTCCCCTTCCTTCTTTCCCCAAACTCACAACTCTGAAACTAACATTAAATCATATGCTATAACTCACTGTCTCTTACAGTTATGTACAGACGCCATGGTCACTTCACAGCAATTAAATTTTAGAATCTGGCTCAGTATTCCCCTCATTAACTATTAATCCCAAGGTTATTCATAGAAACACTCAATACTACAACCTCTCTCTTCCTTATTGTACTCTCCTCCAAAGATCTCCTCTTCCACCAGTCCTCATCCACTGATTCTTACAGTCATATCCTAGAGTCATTTTCAATAAGAATAAACCTTCCCATAATCTCAGTTTCAATCATCTTTTTCTCTGACCACAATTCCCATATTTCCTACTCATTCCTTTTAGTATCTCAATTCCAATAATCCTTTGGCTTAAATGGAACCCACAATATATGTATTCAACCATATTTTCACAATCACATTCTCTCTTTTTGTGTCTTCTCTCTTTATCCAGCTTAAATTCATGGCTAATTGTTTATAACCATGTATGTATCTTTAATTTCTTAGTTCCTATTTCCCTTAATCACACTTGCTTGGCAAAATTCTCAGTGTTGGTCAAACCCATTTTTTTTTTTTTATTTCTCCCATATCTGGTCCTGCAGAGCTGATCATGGCAGAAGAAACACAATATGATTATTTTTTCACATCAAATAAATGACCAAGAACTGCAAGTGGCTTTTATTCTGCCTGCCAAACAAACTATAATTTCCTAGAATAGTTACTTTTCTATTCGCCTACACAACCATTTAACACTTTCACTTCTCTTCTCAAACCTCCAAAAACTCTTGTCCTTACTTGACTCTTGGCTGATAACTCTTGATACCTATTTACTTAGAGTACTGCTATAAGCTCTCACTACTATACCTATCCATTTAACAGCTGGGTTTAACCAGCACTGAGATTTTGCCAAGGCTTTGTGATAAAGGGTGACAGGTGCTAGGGAGCTGAAGATACATGCATGGTTACAATAATTAACCATAAATTTAAGCTGGATATTGACAGAAGACATAAAGTAAGAGTGTAACTGTGAAAATGTGATAGTCACATATTTATCCTTCTTCATGTTGCTATAAATCAGGGATCAATCAATTCTTTTTTCTGTAACATTTACTGGTTCTTTCAGAGAGTCAATCTCTTAGGTTCTGTGGGCCATAGAATATGTCACAACTATTTAGTTCTGCTATTGCAGTACAAATAGAGCCACAGACACTTTGTAAATGAATGTGTGTGGTTATGTTATTTATGAACACTAGAATATGAATTTGATTTACTTTTCATGTGTCATAAAGCATTATTATTCTTTTGATTTTCTTTCAACCACTTAAACATGTAAAAATATTTGTAGTTTGTGGCATTACATTCTGAGAGCCAGATTTGGCCTCAGGCCCTCAGGCTGCCAACTCTTGCTATGGTCAAATAATCTGTCCCCCTAGCTAAACCTGATCTTTCCACTTGTGTTCTAGATCCCACCTTCTCTTACCTAATCAAAACACTGCTCAACTTTTCTTTCTCTACCAGATCATTCTCTTAGTATACAAACATGCTATTATTTCTCTCATCTTAAAAAGCAAAAACTTTTTAAGTACAATTGCCTGGTACTTTCTCTTCCTGTACTTTCTTGCATGCTTGCTCAGATGGAAAGGGTCACCTGGGAAGGAAATGAAGGTGGCCTCTGGCCATCAAGGAACTAAAGCCCTTAGTCCAACTGCCCATGAGGAACAATTGGGCCAACAACCACTGAGTGAGGTGGAAATGAAACAGTGCCTGAGTGGAACTTTGAGAGGACTGTAGACTTCTGATGGATCCTCAAGTGGAAGCCCCAGCTAAACTGTGCCTGGATTCCTGATGCACATGATCTAAGAGATAATAAATGTGTGTTGTTTTACATCAATAAGTTCTGGAGAAACCATTACATAGCAACAGAGAAGTAATATACTACACTTCAACATGAGCAAAAGAAAGAAACCAAAGTTCAATTTCTAACTATAATTTCTCAGTCATGTATCATGAAGGGCAGGTTCAACCCTCTCCTTTAAATCTGAGTTTCAGTGGTTTCATAATGGAGATATTACTTATGAGATTAAGGATCCAAGGAGTAAATCACACATCATAATTCATATGAAGAATCAAGCTAAAGTCTAGCACATCAAAGGTAACTAATAATAGTAGTTTTAATCTGAGATTAGATGTCTATCCTTATTATTGCTAAATAGTAAGATCTTCAATTTTTTTTAGAAGTAAATGAAATTTTAAAATGTTAAATGAAAAATGAAAGTAAACAGTAAAGTATAATCATATTGTCATACTTGAGAAAAGAATGTATTTGAGAAGCAATCTTCCTACTGATTGAGTTTGAGTTTCAATGGCAAGAATTTAGGTACTTATATTTTAAAAAAACTACAAGAAACATACTTTGTCAGCAGCTGTCTCAGGAAGAGACTCTTCAATGCCAAGTTCTCGTCGTCTTTCAGCCCTAACTTCTGCATAACTATAAATTGAAAAAATCAATTTTAGTGTTTGTTCATTCATTAAGATATTGCAGAGTTACAACCATTCAATATTTGTTATGTGCTTCACTTAAATTCTTCACTAATTCTAGACTCTTTTCTATGTACTACACAAACCTAAAAACACATCTACAGGATACTCTTAATTCAATTTGCATTTTTCTAGGTATATGAAAATATTATATGCTACTATAAATGATCTCTGACAACACAGTATGTATATTAAGAGGAACTAAAAAATGAAAGAGTATGCTCTTTCCAGTTTTCCTGTTGCATAACTGACTTTGGTACATAAGTGATAGTATGAATTCTGCGGTAAAGCACAGAACTTATGTCAAGCATTATATATCTACTACTTATATGACACTCCTAGAATGCATGTAAGAAAATTTAATAATATATTAAAAAAAGATTACTTTGTAGTTTGACACATTAAAACATTAAGGTTAAGTTACCTGTGATTTAGAAACTTATATATATGTCAGGCATAAAAATTACATTGCCAAAATTGTTAAAGAATGTTATCATAATTCAAAAGTTCTTTGAAAGAATTATTACCTTACTACAGTGTGAGTACAAACAATAAACTCTGGCCTTGAATTCCACTGATGATAAGTGATATAATAATGAGTTTGAAGCCAAATCCACTGTTGCCCTTTGGTCAGGAACCTATAATAACACGATTTGCCTTTCCCATATTGCATTACTGAAAAGAAAATAAAAAATATTTTCTTTGATTCATATTTAGTTATGAAGAATCTGTTTTTTTAAATCAAAAACTATCATTTACATTTAAATGATACATATAGTTCTTCTACATATAGTTCATTCTACATATAGTTCTTCTCTTGGTTTTTCAAAAAATATATATGATAGGAAAATGCAATTCTTTAGGGCTGGTTTAAGTTCTCAAGTAATTTTCACATCTTCTATAGTGTCAAACTTTGAAGCCAGTCATTGCTGATCTTATATACTTTTCACATACAATAAAAGTTCCAAATATTCAAGGATTCAACTGCTGATTTCCTTCTATATTTACTAAGGGTAGCAACAGGAAGTAATCACATTAGACCTTCTTTTTCCCACAGACACTCTCAAGTACAGTATCTCTGAGGCATTTATTTTGTAACTCTTAACTAACCAAAAGCAAAATAACATCACTGTTTGAAGTAACTGTTATTCCCAACACATGCTTTACAGGTTTTGAGTTCTGAAGTCTTTAATAGATGGTAAGCAAAGTGTGTGTGTTTTTTGTGGTTAATTTGAGAAACTTTGTATTTTTAAAATATACTAGTAGATTCAGCTTTATATGGATAATCAATCAAGTAGGAATCAGATCAAATTTAAACTAAACTTGTTTCTATTTTATATACTTACAAAAAGTTACAGCAAATCTACATTTTACTACCTTTCATTAATGGGACAAGATTTCTCTTTATATGATTTTAAAAAGTTAACCTTACCAGAAATATTAAAATTTACTTACAGTGTTCGTGACATTTTGCCAGATTTTCTAGGTCATCCACATGATAGTAATCATAGCCTGATGTTCCCAAAACTTCAAATGGCAAATATCCTATTATGGGTGGTGCCCTAAGTTGAAAAACAATCAACATTATAAGTACCCCACAAGAAACATTTTAACCAGATATTAATTTGGGGAGCTTTCTTTTTTAAAATGGAAAATGGATTTGAAAATCCTAATTAGAAAAAAAGTTTGTCCTTAAAATCCATTAGTCAAGAATAATGTAACATAACTATTACCTTTTATTTTAAAAGTTTAAAAATGAAGTTAATTACCTGTGATCAAGAAATAGAAACTTCCATTCTAAACTATGTCTAGATGTAAACTCTTCATTGGGTTCTTCAACAGTACACATTTCCTACAAATAAATCGATAATTAAAATTCAGAAATACTTCCCTGTGTTCTTAGAAGAATCCTAAATATTATTAGATATAAAAGTCACTGTTAGATGACTTTTCCCTAAATAAATTTTTAACAAATTTAATTTTTTAGTACTAAAATGTGATAAGCTAGAGATATAGCTCAGTGGTCAAGTGCTAGCCTAGGAAGGCCAGCATTTGAACACCTTTGAAAAAAATTAATTAAAAAAAATATATATTTTCTTTTGGTAAGAGTTTGAACCCAGAGGTGCTTTACCACTGGGCCATATCCCTAGCCCTTTTTATTTTTTATTTTGAGACAGGGTCTCATACTAAATTGTTTAGAGCTTTGCTAAGTTGCTGAAGCTAGCCTCAAACATGCAATCTTCCTGCCTCAGCCTTCCAAATCACTAGAATTATAGGAGTATATTACCACACCCTGCTTTGATAACAATTTTAAATGGAGCAATAAATGATACTAAAATGCAGACTCTAGAGTTATTGCTTCAGACTTCTCTCCTGAGTTACTGTTCTATATTTCTCTTCAGATAGCCCCATACACCTCAAACAGTATGCCCTAAAATGAACTAATTGTACAGTTGTACAATTTTCCAACTAATTGATGGACACCTACCTGTGTAGTGCCAAAGTCTAGAAATCTGATATTCATAACATACTCTTTCATTTTTTCCTTTTAGCATCCAAGTGGCCACTACTAATCTTCTCAATTTCACCTTTTAACATTCTTTTAAAAAAATCTATATCCCATCCATTTTCTATGGCTTAGTTTAGATCATCACCATCAGTGGCATCTTACTATGCTAACATCTAACTAAACAGCCTCTCTGTCCTTCAATTGGTCTTCTATTCTGGGGTCACAATTACTCTACTAATACTCAAATATGCTTATGTAACTTTCTTGCCTAAAAATCTTCTGAGGGTCCTCATTTCTTCAGCATGGAGAAAAAACAGAAATAAGTTTCATTTCTTGCTTTTGCTTACTTTTCTAGCCATACTTCCTACTATCCTGTTTTCTCCAATATATGAACCCTAGACTCTGGTCACACTAGCTAATATATTATAAACTTCCTCTGTACCCTTAAATAACCTCCTGCAGCACAATGTTAATATAGTCAAGGAGCTGGGCTCTGAAAGAAAAAGAATCAAGACTCCAGTTCTGACATTTAATAGAGACTTTGGGGAAGAAACTTAACTTCTCTAAGCCTCAGTTTCCTTACATACAAAATAGGGACGATAACAGCATGTATCTCAGGGCTGTTATAAGAATTACATGATAATAAATGTAAAAAAGTATAGCATGCAGTAAGTGCTCAAACACTAGCTACTGTTATTACTTCCTAAGATCAAAACAAGCAGAACAAGGCTGATTTTGGATCTTCTAATTGCTAACTCAGTACTTAGTGTCCTACACCATGTGACTCTCAAATCTTGTCCTGGTTTCTTCATTCCAACCACTTCCAAGTGGTTGAGCTAACCCATTTCCTTATTTGTCTGCTTGTTGGGCCCAGGAAATAAAAATAAATTACTTAAATTTGAAAATGTAAAAGGTAAATTATATGCAATAAAAGCCATTACACATTTCAAAAGAAAATTTCAAAAACAATCTTTCAAAAATTACCTAGATTTTTTTGGACTTTCTCCTTTAGTGAAGATAGTGAATTATATACCAAGTATTCTAAATCTGGCACAAAAACAGGGCAAATGGTGACACATAATCACTGGCTAACTGCAATATATGCTAAAAAATTATGTTTTCATAACTCATTGTTTCTGAAATATCACAATCATAATCATAATCATACATATTTAATAGCCACTACTACTTCAATGCTTGCAGGAAAATTTAGTCATTCTAGAGACAAAAATTATATAAAAACTGAAAACCTCTTAAGCACGTAAATTAGAAACATACCTTGATAAACTGAGGTGTAGCTAACCTGACAGTAGCTACGAAACAAACTCTATCTTCATAAGAAGGTCTATGTGTGCGTTGTATGGTTCCTTCAAAACCATTATGTGCAGCAGTAGATACTAAAACAGTAAGGAAATATGTATCATCAGTTATTCCAGTAAAATCTGGCTGTTACTTAGAAAAATATGAAGTTTTAAAATACATTCTAAAAGAAGCATTTAACTCACCACTGTTTAAAGATTTGAAATTTCCTATAAATCTCACATACTCATAGGTAGATGGCTCCTTTGGATCTATTGTTCCTCGAAGCATATGACAACAGAACTCTAATTGATTTTTTGCTGAAATAAATGATTAAAAAGTCAATATCTGTCATATATCACATGAAATAAGATTATAAAAGTTTTTTTATTGTTGAATAAGTTCACATTTTCTTCAGCAAACGTCTTCAATGACAGATTATTTAGTCCATAAAAGTAAAGTACCTTCAAGAGCTATTTCACCTTGTACAAACAACTTACTGTTCTCTATTTTTACCTGTCCTTTCTCATTTTTCACTCTAATTTCAAAGAAAGGTTTTGCTTCCCAGTCTAAAGCTAATGCTTCTACTTTGAACAGCTGCTGTTCCTATCTTCTAAAGACCAGGTCTACATCACTTTTTTTTTTTTTTGACAGTTGCTAATACATTATAGAATTTAACAATTCAAATACAAAGAAGCTCTAAGATGACTGATGTCACTATTACCAAATAAGGCAACATTCAAAAATCATGAAAAGATGATTATAGAATGTATCTAATAACTAATGGCCACGAATTTTCTTCTTTAGGTCCTTAATTTCTACAATTTTAAATTTGATCAGGTCTTCCATTTCAAAGAGTTTTTTTTTCATTTTTTAGTTTTTTTTTTCATTTTTTCTTTTCAGTAAGTGTTCCTGTTTTCATGTATTCACTTCCCTTTACCTCATGCACTATGGCTTGCATCCTTGCACCTCTACTCTTCTAAAGCCTATCAACATTTGTACTGTCAACTTCAATAGTTTTTCTTCATTTCACAATTCCTCATTCCTGTAACATGAACTTGCCTTCTTACCTATTGACTATTCCTCTGTTTTCTGCTAAACCATCTTCAAAAACTAGCAAACTTCAAAAGGGTTCTTTTGATCTTCATCTTTTGAGATCTGCTATAAACTGACTGGTCTTGGAAATCTTATTTACCACTCCATATCTTTCTCCAACACTAACATTTTATGTAACACAAATTCTCATACCATTATTTGCTTTCAGGATATTTCTACTTAATGTCCCATCAGTAATTTAAACTCGAAGTATTTGAAAGTGAATTTTTCCTGTTTCTTCCTAAGTTAGCTGTCCTCTTTGCCATATGTATACTTATTTCAAAGTTAGAAACCATATCCCTACTTCCTCTACATATCAATTTGCTCTCTTCTCTACCTATTACAAATCCCAAAGCTAATTTGTCACCAGGCCCTGCTATTTATTTCACCAAGGAAACTCTCATAAATCATTTTTCCACTTAACACTTAGGACCATCAACTCAGTGCAGTCACAAATTGCCTTGCACCTAGATAGCTGAAATATTTATTCATTGTGCCTCCACTCTCTTGCCTCTGATTCATCCCTTCCTACTACACTTAACTGTTGCAAGCCATCCATAGGCTGTGTGTGTGAGCTATGCTCACTGGAGCTATATGAGGGGACAGGTCTGGCACTTCACACTGATTGGGCTGTGCGACGCAAGTGCGCTGCTTCTCTCGCTCTGCCTGTGATCCCATACAGCACTAGTAACTTGCCAAGATGTCAATCAATCTGCTGACCACAAGACACCACGAAGCAAGACTCTACCTTTAAAACCTTAATCCACGCCTTATTTGGTGAAGAACATTCTCTGGAATCTCCTTTGTGTGTCTCCCCTATAAAAATAAAGAGATTCTGGGTGCACGCTGTCTTTCCAGCACCTTCCACTGTGGAAGCTGACCCTTAAGGTCACAGAGCCATCCTACCCGCGACATGAAAACTACTTCTGTATTGTGTGACTTTTCACCATTTTCTTAGCTTCATGTTGCAGCCAGCTCTTTGGAACCCAGCTCATCTTGTCAGAGCGGATCACTGGTAGGACTTAGACTAATACTACTTTTATAGCACTGCTTCAACACTCAAGGATTAGTAACACTTTCCTTCACTCACCACATCAAGCTCATGCTCTTTTATTATCAAAACAGATGGTTTTATCATCTAACTCAACAGGTTCAAAATCTAAGTATCATCGTCTTCCCAAAACCCTCCCCAGCTTGGTCACCAGTACCTAATATAGAGCCTACGGAGTTTCCTTACATAACATTCATATACTTTCCTCTTCATCCTTACTTTGATTACAACAATAATATCAATTTTCCCTTTTTGTCCTGAGTGCAGTCCTTTTCAAAATTTTCTACTCAGTGACTCCCCTTTCACCCTTCTGATTATAAAACCACCCAAATCTCCTTCACTCACTCTCCACAATGTAAAACATAAAAACTCTATAGAATGAAATATTATGGCCAAATACAGTGATGTAACAATTCTGAAGTTCATACTGAGTAACAGTGAAGAAAATGTTGTGCACTATTTGCCTAACAAATCTAGTAGAAATGTTCAATTATACCATAATATTTTGTGTTTTTTGATGGTAAGAAATGTTTTTCACTATTTTGGTTCTTTTTATGATAAAGCATAAGTGCCTAGCTCATTACACAATCCAATAAAAGGTTACTTAAATCAGTTTAATTTAAAAAGTAAATAATTTTTCTTTTAATTTAATAATCTTAAAAGATTTGCAATTTTTTCCTCCATAGTTTGAGTGCCCACCTTGTCCACAATGAATAAAACAAGGTTTAATTATCTATATCAATAAATACAACATGATTTTATTCAAATATTAAAAAGATATTGATTGCCAGGTTTCCATTTCTGTATAAAACAATTTTATGGCTTAGCTGTGGTCAGATTTATTATAACAAAACAAGATGAAATTTCAGTATACTTTGGAACAGATTTCAGATTTAAAATATGAACACAATTCCATTATATACAGACACATGTATACACATATACATATATTTTTAATATTTAAAAAGCACACAATAGGGTATAGGGAACAATGCTGTATTTTACATTTTTTTGTGTATGTGCAGGAGTACTGGGGATTGAACTCAGGGACACTCAACCACTGAGCCTCATCCCCAACCCTATTTTGTATTTGATTTAGACAGAGTCTCACTGAGTTGCTTAGCGCCTCGCTGTTGTTAAGGCTGGCTTTGAACCTTCGATCCTCCTGTTTCAGCATCCCAAGCCGCTGAGATTAGAAGAGTGCACTACCATGACTGGCTGCATTTTAAATTATTAAATATGTCTATTTTTCACAAACTTAAAAAAGTAAAGGATAAGGCTATCAAATATAATATTTGAGTTTGTTCTTCACAGTCACTACTTACATTTTAAGTATTCAGGAGTTAATGAATCACTTTCCAGCAGATGGGTAGAGAGCATTTTATAAAACTCTGAATGTTCCCCCTCTGGGATAAAATTAAATATACTTTGATCCACAAGATCAGACTGAAAAATAAATTTTAAAAAATAAAATAGTTAAATGATTCAAGAAGCATTTATTTTGAAAATGTAAAATCACTATCAAACAAGAGTATGAATGATTAACTTTCAATTATCTAAGAAAACCAACAAATGTCAAGTAATAGAATATATCTTTAAAAACAAGATTGAAAAACTGGAAGAAGGTTAATATTACCCTCATCCTCCGATATTAGTATCACCAAATCTATGACCAATATGACCTAAAAGCCTGGTGTATTATTTGCAAAGCTGAGTTTTGCTAAGTTTGAACATTTTAATCAGAAATCTCTGGCTACAAGATATAGCCTTACCATTTATTCAAACCTATGCTAAATAATGGTAGTAGACATAACTACAAAGGACCAGTGTCTGGTTAAACAAAAAGGAGATGTGACTTAGTTGTCATTTCAGTTGTCTAATGTGCCCTTTTGTTTTTATTCTATCTTTTCCAGGCATCTATTCGATATTTCATTGTTAAAAAGTTCTTGCTCAAACAGAGTATTCTTGCTGATATATGGCTTTAATTATGATTCGTTAATCAACAATAATTTGAAAAGCTTCAGGGTGCCTACAGTATGTGATGGCTGTGGAATTAAAGATGAATATGATAATATTAACAGGATAATTCTATCATGAAGTACTAATGACAACCAAACTCCAGTGACTTTCATATTTTTTACTGAATACAGTCCATTCTATTTGATTTCTCTATATTTTCAATTGCCCTGTACTATCCTAGGAATACTGAGTGGGTATCTCAAGGACTGTGGAGGCAAGGATAAAGAGATTAGGAAGTAAAAAAACAGGAAGGTAGGTCTGTTTTCAACCAAAGTACTTATGCATTCATTTTGTTTGTATTTATATATCTTTTAAGATTTTCTTTGAACAGCTCTGTTGCTTAAAAATAAAATAAATAAAACAACAAAAAAGAGCAAGAAAGACACTAGAGATGGTAGGCTAGAGAGGAGTACTTGACTGCTCCTCACATAAGCCATACATCCACATTCGTTCTGTTTTTCCTCTAGCCCTCAAAGTTCACCCCACGAAGTGAAACAGCCTTCCCCTACTCCATATATCAGTACCCTCCATTCTTTGAAAAATTTTCAAATTATTTCCATTAAAAAAGCTTTCCCTTAACACCAAAATCCACAATAATTTTATTAGTACTCATTGCACAGTATTTCATACTTACCATTAATTAATGATGTGAATTATTCATTTCCCATTACAAATATTTGTTGTTTCAATGTTTATGTCCTGTTGCCCCATAAAGAATAAAAGGGCCCCATCGCTTATACCTTCCTCTTTCTCCCATCCAATCAAGGAAACCTAAACCCTGCCCCTTGCATTTAACAACTATTAGCATAATAAGTTATTTGGGGCTAACAAGCTATTTAATAATGGTCTAAGGGATAATCACACCAAAACTGTTATCTTAATAAGGAATTATTCTAGAAGTTTGAAAAGTCCTAGAACTGAAGGAATGAATTAAAAATACAGGCTTGTATAATAAAAATGCTAGAAAAATATCTTGTATTGACAATAATATATCAAAGATAGTCACTGATACAAATTTTTAAAAGTCTTTGATATAAAAATAAGATACCATTTGAAATAAAAATTTCATCTTGAGAATGATTATTGTTTTCTACTACTGTTTCTTTATTTCAATAAATTGTAATTCAGTCTATTTTACTCTTGTTTTTCTATCTATAACTTCATAGGATGTGTCCTATTCAAAGAGAAATAATTATGAATGGCTAGAATTTAGAGTAGGGTAACAAGTACTGCTTCTCTTCCACTTTACTTCTTCTGCCAGATTATGAAGAGTGTCAAATTTTCCATCAACTGCTATAACTCAAGTTTCTTTATGAGGTTAATCATACTTGATGTTGTCATGAAATCCACTTGGTTCCCAAACACCATTCCAAGGGAAGAAAAATCCTTTTATATTCCTTTTATATTCCTAAACCATTTTAATAAATAATAAATGTATTGCTGATTTAATTATATGTCATGTTTCTACGTTAGATCAAGGTTACCATCTAGTGGAAATTAAAACTACGGCCAATTATCTTTTCCCTTTGGTAGACAAGAGACAGTTAATTGATCCCTATATACAACAGCTGCTTAGGAGGGATGGAAAGCTCCTGTGAAAAAATGTCAAAGATATTTTAGATATAACCAATTTTTAAACTTTTATATTTCTTACTTACAGACAAAAAGGTCAGAAATTCTGACCCTCTCAAATTGACCTTTGTTACCATCACCTAATTATTCAAAAATTTCAAAATTATATTTCTGCATATTGTATCTTATACCAAAAACTGTATTAACTTTCCTAAAACACACTTGTGTCTGTTCTTAAACTACTGGGTTATGGCTGGGCACGTGGCACACGGTAATCCCAGCAACTCCAGAGACAGAATCAGGAAAATCACAAATTGGAGTCCAGACTCAGCAACTTATTAATACCCTGAATTACAATAAAAAATAAAAAAGGTCTAGGAATATAGTTCAGTGGTAAAGCATGCTTGGCTTAAATCTGCAATTATTACAAGAAATAAAAATTTTGAAAAATATACTACTGAGTTATGGACAGCAGCTAATGAGAGGGCCATCGGTTTCTAAATAGTGTAATTTTTAGTCCTGGACTCTATGAGATTACAACATGGATAATCACCTTCCCTATGTTACCTAGCTAAAAATCTAATAAATTCTTCCTCAGGAACATATCTAAGCAAGAATTTTATAAATTTTAAGTATTTGTTAGACTAAGAAACAAGACCTGTCATTTCTGGCACTTCCACTCGATTGCTGTACAATTAAGTCCAGTGTTTCTGGGCTTCATATTTTTTGCCGATAATGTAAAGGGACCATTAATGATCTCTAAAATCCCTCTAGCACCGAACTATATGACTATGATTTAGTTAACAGAAAGGGAAGGAAAAAATATTCCTTAAATTTTGTTTCTAATCTTAAAGTGAATAAAAACATTTATGCCTGATTATCAGTCATAAATAGGTTAAAGTGCACCCAAATAAATTATAAAATTACTGATTTTTTTCAAGTATGAGATAAAGAAAATTGGTTTTGGTAGGACCCATATATAGACTCTTATAATTTTAAGTCAGTCTTATCATTTTAAATCAGATTTAAATTGAAATTGAAAAATTTTAAGTCATTACCATCCACTCATTAAAGTGGCAAGTTTTAATTTTTAAACAGAACTGAATTGTAAATGCTAACGCCAAATCTAGGGATTTGCTAGTGTTTCTCTTCTTCTGGGCAAAAGTCAAATTCTCTTTTAGACAAAATAGGGATGCATATTAAAATACCAAAAAAGGATATCATTGTTTTAGACCTTTTATTTAGCACGATTTTTTATAGTTCGTAGTTTAATTATTAATGACAATGCAAAACAGAAAATCAAATTTTTTTCTTATGTTGGATCTTAAACGAAGATTAGCTTTTTCGAAATAAGCTGTGTCTATGCTTTCAAACCATCAAGAAACTTAATTCAATGTCAGTGATGCAAGGGAAAAAAGCCATAGTAACTAGAAAGTAGTTTAAAAAAAACTGTTTCTAATAAAGTATATCATAATTCAGTATGGAAAGAAATGGTCCCTTGGATTGGCAACAATCTCCCTTGCCTAAAAATTCACCTGTCAATCTATATTCTTTAGACATCACAAACAAAAACAAAACCCAGAAGATATCAATAAACCGGAGTGTGAGACACATGGGAACTCTCTGTTCCCATTGTCAGAATTTTTCTGTAAACCTAAAAATGATTCTTCCATGAGGAAATTGGGAGGGTTTTTATTAAGTGTGGGATATTAATGATCAAACACTTGACTCCAATTAGATTTGTCACAAGTTGCTTATTTCAAAATGCAATTAAACTTTCCCTCACAAAAGGCTCAACACCAACGTGTCATTAAAAATATTTTTTTTTTAAAAAAAACAGGCACATCAAGTGGCCTGCTCATTTCCATCTACTCAGTGAATAATCACCACACGTCTCTCTGAGAAACCAACTAGAACTTCTAAGAATCTTACAACTACCCTAACAAATCCAAGTGAACAAAAGGGTTTACTCAAGTATGTAGAAGGTGAAAGACAACAGACACCAGAGGCCTCAAATTCTGAATGGAGTTCAAGGACACCATCGAGAAGCAGGCTTTTGCTAATGATGCTCTCATTATGACTAAACAAAAAGTTAATATAGAGTTACACAAATGAAAGAAAAACCAATATAATTCTACATGGCTTAAAAGTATATAAAATACACTTATTACTATACTTATTTTCAAATTACTTACATCATAGCTTATTCATACAAGGGGATTCTTTCCCTAGGTTTTCTTGCTATGCAAATTAAAAAAAAAAATAGTTGCCCAGATAATCCGCTTGGTCTACCCTTCTCTCTGTCCATTCTAGTTTACTTACATGCTGTTATAATCTCATGTTTTGCTCAGATAATTTTTTAGATGTTGGGTTCATCACCTACTATTTGAACTTATTGGAAAGAAAGTCCCCCCCACACACAGAAAAGCGGTAAAAATCTAGTCATTTTCTATGTGAACCAAAGATATCAGTACATCACTCAATGCCTGGCTTTAAGTGTAGAGTCCATTCTCTTTATGAAGTATGAAGCAGCACAGTCACCAAAGGGAATTACTGCTTTTCAATATCTCTTAAGAGTGACATTTACAGGGCAATTTATTTGCATTGTTATGAATTATCAAAAGAAAGACATTTTAAGAGTAATTTATTAATGTTAGAATATGTATACTTCAAGAGCCAGTTTAGATAAGAACTATTAAATAAAAAATGCAAATTCATTTCAAATACCATCAACTGCAGCAGAACACTTAACAAGTGTTTGACACAGAAAAGATGTACAAAAAATACATGTTGAATGAAAAAGCAAACACAATTTAGGTATTCACTACCCTTCTCACAATTACACATTTTTTTTTCTAATTCTTTATACCTTCAGTAGTATTGACAATGAACTAAGTATGGTCATTATTACATTATCAATTTAAGTCATAGCAAAAAGTTCTGTACCCACTATTTTTAGTATTTTTTATAAGTCATTCCTTTGACTTATAAAAGTTAGCCTACTTGCAACAGTATCTCAGCAGAACATTGATTATTCTCAAGATAGTCTCAATGTTTTACCACCTTCATCAGACTGATTAAAAAGGAAACACTAAAAAGTTAGCATTAGAATAAAGAAGGGAAGAACAACGGAGATTCAAGTACAGTTGAGTATTCAGTTACCACAAATTAAAGTGATGACTGATTTGAGAAAAGACATACTTAGAGCTTTTATCCCCACCCTTAATCACTGTTCAACACTGCTCTCAAGTCTACTTCTGGGTGCTTTAGGATATTTAAAATGGACATGAAATAAGAAAGAGACTGTAGGATTTTATACTCACTGGCAAATGTTCAAGTAATGAAGTTACACTCTCAGACACATATATTATACTTCCATCTGTCATGATTGCTAAAAAAAAACCATCAAGAGCCTGAAATTAAACATAATGGTCAGTTAAATGAAAAAAGTATTTCACAGGACAGAAATAAGATAACTGTCTAGGGACATAACGTGGAAATATCCATAGTACTGACCTATCTTTTCCCCTTTATAGTACCTTTAAATGAATTATTTATGTATCTTTAAATGTCTTGAGCAGGGAATCACTCTCTGGCTATCTAGTGAACAGCTGATTTCTATACATAAAGACTAATGTTCTGCCTTTATCACTATATACATTATACAATCCAACTATATATATAACATGGCTTAAAAATGCTAACATCTTCAAAGTATACATACTACCAATAATACACCGTCAGCACAAAAGAGAACACATCATTATTATTTTGGATATGTATCTTAACAGAGAAGTGTATTATTGAAATGTAGGGAGATACATAGGTAATAAAATAAAGGAAGTGGTAGGAAATTGGTATTTGAGGCTTTGATGATTGGCCTCAGCCTAGTTTTGCAGTTAAGTCACAAAGACTTAATTCTATACACAACGGGAAGTCAACACATTTTAGCTCCCTAAAATGTGCTTTAAAGAGAGTAGTCTAGAAGAAGTGTATAAAATGGACTTAGAGGGAACAGAGGACTGAGTCAGTGGCTTTTGGGAAATTATTCATGAGATTCTGAAAGAAATTCTAATAAGAGGAAAAGAGAATAAAAGATTTATTAGGTGAGCACTGAGAAATATGAACTTCTTTGGGAGAGATGTTAGACCATCTTGTTGTTAGACTTAACAACAAAACAATCCTACATTTTATATTTTCCAAAGTATTTTCATTTGAGAATTTTAGGAACAGAAATGACAGCTGAAGAAATGAGATCTTCAAAAGACAGAAAAACATGCCAAAAAAAAAAAAATACAAGGAAGAATGACCTGCATATAGGGATGAGAAGAAGAGGAGAATACACTGTCATTAAAGAAGCGGATAAAAGCTGGACTTGGTGGCACATCCTGTAATCCCAGCTACTCGGGAAGCTAAAATAGGAGGATATCAAGTTCAAGGCCAGGCTGGAAAAGTTAGCAAGATCCTGTCTCAAAATAAAAATTTAAAAGCTGGAGATATAGCTCAATGATAAGAGTGCTTGCCCAGCATGAGCAAGCCCCTAGGTTCAATCTTCAGCACAATTAGAAAAAAAAAGGTGGCAGAATAGAGTATGACAAGGTCAGTGAGGATAAATAGGAGTGAAATCAAATAGGATAAGGAATAAGGAAATTAAGTTTGGTGATTTTAACAAGAGTTATGTCAACAGGAAGGCAAATAAGACTCTGATGAGATTAGAATGAGTGAGTAGTAAGAGGCTAACATAACCCACTCATTCATAAACTTTATTAGGTGAGCACTAAGAAACAGTGCTCCCTGAAAAGGACGGCGGGAGGGAGGGAAGGAGGAAGGAAAGGAGAGGAGAAGGGAGGGAGGGAAGAAGGGATGGAGGGAAGAAAGGAGGGAGGGGGAGGGAAGGAGGGAAGGAGAAGGAGGAGGGAGGGAGGGGAGGAGGGGAGGAAAAAAAAACAGTTTTAAGGGGACCAAGTATTAGGGGAATGCATTTAAACAACAACAAAAGAATAACCAGGATATCTGAGGCTGAGGAAAAGGAAGATCCAGTGGAGAAACTAAAGATAATTTCTTTTTAATTAAAGAGTGCTCTCACAGGACAGTAACCTTTGGTAGGAACAAAGCAAATCTTAGTTTTCTTTATATCTGAAGTACCCAACATATGGTAGAAGTAAAAACTTTTGATAGTATATAACTTATGAACCTGGGAATGAAAGCAACTTCTAGTTCTAAGTAACTCCTGAGATTACAGAAATAGACGTACTCCTCTACCTCTTCTGCTCTTGAGGGAAGAAATCTGGACAGCAGAGAAAACTTATTTTGAGTAGATCCCTATCTTCTAGAATGGCTCAGGCAAACTCATATTTAGTTAATTGAAGAGGAGAGTAAAATCTTGTAATTTAAGCCAATTTATAAATTATTTTTAAAACTCTTTAATAAAATAACACCAGTATTATTCCACTATTAGTAACTGTCTTATTTTTGTTGTTATTTTTAGTAAGGCCAAAATGATTTTAAGAAGAAACCTGTGCTTTTCTCATGTGAAGCTAGACTGTGTTACCACTGATAACAAATCAACATTTACTATAATATGTCTACTTGCTAATAGGTCATTTGCTAGAAAAGAAATTGATTGGAGTGCGTCTCTCTTCTGTAAAGAGAAATGAATTGAAATCAGAACTTCACTTCTAGATCTAAAGCCCGATCTTTTCCTCTTTCAAAGCAGGCAGAGAGTAAGCAAAGAAAAGCCTCCAATTGTATCTTGCCAGAGTCTTGACACACAGAAGGACTCTGAGTGTCCACACACCTTTTGAGTGAGGGACATAATTTCCCATGAGGTAGGTGTATACCAAAAACTAAAGATTCCCTGAGGAGGATTATTAGAGAGACATGGGACAATAAGGCAGAGAACCATTCTCATCTCAAGAATGAAGACTATGAAGCCTCCCCCACATTGTATGAAAAAAAGGGCCAGAGCACATAGTTAAAAACCACTTGTTTTCCTATTTGATATCCACAGCAATTGACCCCCAGCAATGATTGTTTAGTTGGGAGAAGAGTAGAATGCAAATTCTAAGGAAGGGAACAAAAGTTCCTTGTGGATCTACAGGAAAGATAAAGAGCACAAACCCTCTCCTTGTAGATTACTGGAGAGACCTGACAGTTGCCAAGGGATAAGACATATATACTAGGACATTACTTCACATAAAGGTGATTCTGCAAAGAATTGATCAGATTAAACTATCCTATTTGCCTTGCCTATTCCTTCTCCTTCAAGGGCAGTAGGAAATATTTCTCAGGCAACAGAAACAAATAAGAGAGGGGAAGAGGAGCAGGTGGCAATGAGGGATGGGAGAGAGACAGTTTTAAGTGAATTTTAAGACCTCAGTTTCAGTTCTTCCACTAATTCGCTACCTGACTGTGGACAAACTGCAATATCTCAGTATTTTTGTAAAATGAAGAAGAGGTTGAACTAAATGATCTAATCTCTTCTACTAGCAGCTCTGACATTCTAAGATACAGCCTACATCTGAAATTCTGCTGAAAACAGTAAGTGACCTGCTTATCTATAATCTGATCAACATGACTGGTCAAGAAGATAATAAAGCTAGGTATATTCTGGCCAAATGAACTTCACCCTAACAAAGTCAGTTCTATTTAAGTTATGAATCAAAACTTTTCATATTCAATAAACAAATGTGGAAAGACTTTAGAAATGTAAAATCTAACATATCTTTTGAATTCTATCTTTCATTATGGCATATTAACGTCAGAATGTATATTTACTTAATAGCTGTACATATTAAAAATGCTTGACATATTAAAAATAAAGAAACAATGTTTTTTTAGGAATGTATACTAAAATCTATGAAGGTAATCATGAGAGAATTATATTCTCAAAATTCTTACATATCTGTTTTCTCTGTTACCACAACAAATGTAGTAATCTCAAGAATCTTAGGTTTAGTTTTTCTTTAATGCTTATCTATTGACAATTAATAAAAAAAAAACTTCTCATTAGGAAGAAATATTTGTAAATAACCTTTTAATGCTTATTCGTAAACATTAAGGATATCAATAATTGAGAGTAGATATTACACCAATTTTTTAATTTATAAGAAATTTTTCATGCCAACAAAGCAAATAGTTTATGATTAATATTATTAAACAACACATGAAACAACTTACAGACACTGATAATATTATCATAAAATAAAATTTAGATACAGTTATTTCCTTTTTCTGTTCTAGACATTAGCACATTATATTAGCATGTATGACATATTTTTGGACAATATCAAACTCTTTTATAGAGGAAAAAAACAAACAAAATTTGGGAGCTAAGGTTTGTAAGTAAGTATATACTAATTTAAAGAACTAACTGCAGGTTACACAGTAAAAAGTTCCTTGCCATGGTTGACGTTCACTAAAAATAAAAATTTGGTGGCAATGTCCACAGTAACTAAGGGCCTGGGATCAGAGGTCAGTCTACCTGCAGTGAATCCCAGCTGAGTTACCTACTTACTAGCTGTGTGATTTTAGACAAGTTTCATAATGCCTTTGTTACTTAATTTCCCTATATGGAAGTGAAAAAGATATTAATATCTACTTCGTAATATTAGTTATTATGACACACAAATACTACAGTCTAGGATTGTTATGAGGATTCAATGAGTTAACAAGTGAAAAATGCTCAGTTATTTTTCAGTTTCAAAGTAGAGATTTAAATTTTACAGCACATTTATATTCCAACAAATTTTCATAAGACAATGTTTCTGGGGAATACACAAAGACTTAGTCCAACAACTAACTGTTCCACCTAAAGTATAAGCAGAAAAACTCTAATTTGTAAAATACTTTGCTTCAGACTTTAGTAAATATACAAAGATATTTGAAACAGAGACAATACATATACATATGTTATAAAGATAAATGCTTAATATCTAAAATAATAAACGCAAAGGACAGAGGTGAGTACATTTAACAATCTCTATATCCTCACCTCAAATGCTTTCTTGCATTTATGTCTACATTATGTATTTTTCTTGTCCTTCACTTTATCTCCAAAGCAAACTACCTCTCTCCTATTATAAATTTTTGTAGGAATTTGATACTAAATTCTGTATACTTTGTATGCTTAGGTGACACCTACATTATTCTCCATGGGGAAGGATTAAAAAGTAGAAAAGTAAAATTAATAAATGTAAGTAATTCAAAACTTTTGTGGTATTATCACTGGTTGTATGAGGTATTAGGTTCTGTTATTACAAGCAAAAGTGCTCTGAATTGTTCTTCAAATAATTTTGTCACAGAAGAACATCTGTTCATTTCCTTTTAAAAGCTTCTACTAAATTTCACTTTTTATTTTTCTATTTATATTTTTCCAAACTCTTCTTTTATTATTATTTTGTGTTGTTTGGGGCAGATTTTAATTCAGGGTTTAAAAAAATAGTCTCCTGCCCAGTAGGACACTACTATAGACTGAATGTTTGGGTGCCTCTGAAACATTCCTATGTGGAAGTTTAATTCATGAGATGAGTGTATTTGAAGGTTGGACTTGATTAGTGCCCTTATAAAAAGTGGGCCTACAGAGCTTCTTTGCCCCTGCTGCCACATAAAGTCACAGAAAAAAGATAAACCAGGCATGGAGGCACATGCATGTAATCCCAACAGCTACCGAGGCTAAGGCAGAAGGATCACAACTTCAAAGCCAGCCTCAGTGAATTAGTGAAGCCCCTGACTCAAAAAATAAAAAGGGCTGGGAATGGGATTGGGATGTGGCTCAGTGGTTAAGCACCCCTAGGTTCAACTCCCCATACCGGGGAGGGGGGGGCGGGGAAGAAAGTAAAAGAAAAAAGACAACCATCTATGAACAAGGAATCAAGAGCTCTCACTAGACATCAAGTCTGTTGATGGACTATTAGCCTCTAGAACTGTGAGAAATAAATTTCTGTTTTTCACAAGCCACCCAATTTATGGTATTTTGGTATAGCAACTCAAATGGACTAAAACAGACATATTTCATAATAATATCTAACATGTAATGAATAATAATTCTACTCTTTTTCAGATGCAGTTGGTATAGTCTCAGGTTCAGAATTCAGTATAGACTTTCATTAAGTATCTCAAAAATTCAGGTACTGAAAATATAAAAATTTGGTGCTACTCTACCAACAGTATTATTTGTTTATAACACTTGATAAACTTTAATTGAATACATAATTGCAGTGAATTAAGATCTTCCATTATTAACAATACTTTGTAAGACTATGTAACAGTTAATTACACACCTATGATTTCTTTGTGGAGGAAAACAAAACTTTTCAAAAATTAATTCTGAACATACCTCTAACATTAATTGTGTAAACTCTTCATTACTAAGGAATGTTGGTTTCCAGTCCTGTCGAATTTCACTAGCATCTGACTGTGCAGTGATTTCTGTAAACAGATTGACACATTAGTGACATCCTCCAATCACTCCATTTAAAGATGAGAATGACAGGCAACAACATTTATTGGTCTACATATCAAGAGGCCAGGTTCTGGTGTAAAATAAAATATTTGTGTTAATGTGGGAAGTTATCTCTTTGTTAATACCAGTCAACGGTTTTGGTTTTTGTTTTTTAAACCCTAAGGAACTATCTCTGATAGCCTTTATGGATGATAGGCAGGCCTGAGATTGCACTCTGTTTCACGCAATGACCAAATAAGTATAAGAACAAGCAGTTGGGCAAAGTGGTGCAGGCTTATAATCCCAGCTACTCACTTGAGAGGCATATAATATATGAAGAGTAACTAAAAGGCATAGCTACTAATTCCATGGAATACAGTCATTCTTTTAAAATTCATATCAATTACATAAATTTAGGGAAAAGGTCTTAAATTCTCAAGCAAACCCAGTGAAATTTAAACACAGGCCAATTTCACAGGGTTAAGTACTTAAGAATTACCCTTTAACATAAATTTTATTTTTGTAAAAATTATATATTCAATTTTGGAGGGAAAATGATCTACTTAATGCTCAAATTAATCCTCCACTGTCAGAGGGAAAAGCATGCATTTTGAGCCATTTCATTCAATAATTATTTTTAAATTCCTACATTGTCTAAGAAACTGATTTTATAAATATGCCATCTATCAAAGGGTGATGAGATTAGTAAGAATACTATTTATAAAGGTAAAATGTAATGACAGTCATGGCAATAAAAATGAAGGTAAGCAATTCTAATACATTTACAAACAAATCAACAGAATTTGGTAACTCTCTTATGGTCCTGAAGTATATAAAAAAAAATCCAAAAGTATTTTTAAGTTTGAGTCCTGGCTGACTAAAAAAAATGGTGGGATAAACATGAAAAAGGTAAGTTAAGAGAAAGAAGTGACTTGTCAAAAGGAAAATGAAATCAGTTTTAGATGTACTGAGTTTGAAGAGACTATGCAAAAGAAGTATCTAGAAGTTATCTGAAAATAAAAGGTTGAATATTTTGTATCTAAAAGATTTGATAGTTTAACCCATTAAGTCTCAAGTTTTCAATTCTGTAAATATTTCAATGAAACTGATGTGGGTTAAAATAGGTTGGAAATCATAATCCAGAACTTGCATATAATTAATATTAGTAAATAAATTTAAAATGTGGTAAAAGTATAATATTATGTAATATATAATACTATATTTAAGCATTTATAGATGTTCCACATCTGGGACAAATGAACAAAATGGGTTAATAGAGATACTATTGCCAAATCTATAGAAGGAGGTAACCAAGGAAAAAATGTAGAGAAATTAAGAGCACAAGGATAAGCCTTTGAGAAACATCCCATTTATAGAAAAAGAAAGAGGAAAGTAATTTTAATTAAGAAAGGGAAGAAGCAGCACAATTTAGGGAAGCCAAGGAAAAAGAAAGCCAATGAAGAATGGATATAAATTTCCAGGTTTATAGATATGTACAAGAGGATGAGGTGTAAGAAAAAGCTTTTGAGGTCTTTAGGGAATAGACCGAGAAGGGGAATAGCTGGGTCAAATGGTGGTTCCATTCCCAGCTTTCCAAGAAATCTCATACTGCTTCCCAAATTGGCTGCACCAATATGCAGTCCTACCAACAATGAACAAGTGTACCCTTTTCCCCATATCCTCGCCAGCACTTGTTGTTGTTTGACTTCATAATGGCTGCCAATCTTACTGGAGTGAGATGGTATCTTAGGGTGGTTTTGATTTGCATTTCTCTGACTGCTAGCGATAGTGAGCATTTTTCATGTACTTGTTGATTGATTGTATGTCCTCCTCTGAGAAGTGTCTGTTCAGGTCCTTAGCCCATTTGTTGATTGGGTTATTTGTTATCTTATTGTCTAATTTTTTGAGTTCTTTGTAAATTCTGGATATTAGGGCTCTATCTGAAGTGTGAGGAGTAAAGATTTGTTCCCAGGATGTAGGCTCCCTATTTACCTCTCTTATTGTTTCTTTTGCTGAGAAAAAAACTTTTTAGTTTGAGTAAGTCCCATTTGTTGATTCTAGTTATTAACTCTTGTGCTATGGGTGTCCTATTGAGGAATTTGGAGCCCAACCCCACAGTATGTAGATCGTAGTCAACTTTTTCTTCTATCAGATGCTGTGTCTCTGATTTGATATCAAGCTCCTTGATCCATTTTGAGTTAACTTTTGTGCATGGCGAGAGAAAGGGATTCAGTTTCATTTTGTTGTTTGCTACAGGGACACTGCTACATCCATGTTCATAGCAGCACAATTCACAATAGCAAGACTGTGGAACCAACCTAGATGCCCTTCAATAGACGAATGGATAAAAAAAAAATGTGGCATTTATACACAATGGAGTATTACTCTGCATTAAAAAATGACAAAATCATAGAATTTGGAGGAAAATGGATGGCATTAGAGCAGATTATGCTAAGTGAAGCCAGCCAATCCCTAAAAAACAAATGCCAAATGTCTTCTTTGATATAAGGAGAGTAACTAAGAACAGAGTAGGGACGAAGAGCATGAGAAGAAGATTAACATTAAACAGGGATGAGAGGTGGGAGGGAAAGGGAGAGACAAGGGAAACTGCATGGAAATGGAAGGAGACCCTCAGGGTTATACAAAATTACATACAAGAGGAAGTGAGGGGAAAGGGGAAAAAAAACAAGGGGGAGAAATGAATTACAGTAGAGGGGGTAGACAGAGAAGAGAAGAGGGGAGGGAAGGGGAGGGGAGGGGGGATAGTAGAGGATAGGAAAGGCAGCAAAATACAACAGACACTAGTATGGCAATATGTAAATCAATGGAAGTATAACTGATGTGATTCTGCAATCTGTATACGGGGTAAAAATGGGAGTTCATAACCCACTTGAATCAAAGTGTGAAATATGATATATCAAGAACTATGTAATGTTTTGAACAACCAACAATAAAAAAATTAAAAAAATATAATTATTGATTTAAATATGAAAATTAAAAAAAAGAAAAGGCTTTTGATTTACTGGGGATGAGTGGATAATGTCATTAATGAAATTAACAACAGTAATTTCAAAGAGTGGTAAAACATAAACCAGTCTAGTGAGGCATTACTAAGTGAGCTAGGGAGAAATAAAAAAGAGGCACTAATTACTATCTCTCCTCCTGAAAAGTTCTGCAGTTTCTTTTAAATCTGAAAAAAGGAAATATCCTTTTATCATTTTTTTCTAATCTAGTATATCTGCTACCAAAACACGTGATATTCTTGATTTTCTTTTCCCCTTTGTGCTAGGGTTGTAACCTGGGGCCCTGCACATGATAGGTAAGTGAAGTGTTCTACCACTGAGCTACAAACCTCAGCCCCTTTCAAATTTTCTTTTCATGAATTGTTTAGTTAAGGTGATTTTCATTAATTAACAAAAACTCAATTTTTAAAATATCATGTTTATTTCTCAGCTATAAACTGAAATTACCTTTTAAAATAACTTACAAGGTCCCCCCTTTTTTTAAAAGAGAGAGAAGAGAGAAAATTTTTTAATACTTATTTTTCAGTCTTCAGTAGACACAACATCTTTATTTTTTTTTTTTATGTGATGCTGAGGATCGAACCCAGCGCCCCATGCATGCCAGCGAGCACATTACCGCTTGAGCCACATCCCTAACCACCCACCCTTTTATTTATTTATTTATTTATTTTTTAGTTGTAGATGGACACAATACCTTTATTTATTTGTTTTTATTTTTATGTGGTAATGGGGAACGAACCCAGTGCTCACACATGCTAGGCAAGTGTTCTACCACTGAGCCACAACCCCAGCTCCTTACAAGGCCCTTATTAGATGTGACCTTTTCCCTTCTTTCAAATCACCCATAACATTCCAACAAAACATGCTCCAGTTACAATGAAGTCTCCTTGCTTCTCTTTTGCATATGCTACCTTCTTTTATGTAAAACAATGTTTTCCTTACTTAATCTAAGACTCAATTGAAAAATTAATTATTTTAAAGTTTTATCTGATATATTCTTTCTTTTTTGTTATCATTGCGAATTTACAGTTTTTAAGCATTATTCATATCATGGTCATTTGTATTATAATTATCTACTTAATGTTTGTCTCCCCTGGCTTGAGATACTTGAGGACCAAGAATGTTATCCTGCATCATAAAGATCTAGGATATTGTAGGCACGAAATAACTGTTAGTTGAGTGAAAGAAAGAACATACCAGGAAATCTGTTTATAAAGGTGATTGGTTTCTTTCATGTCCATAATCCAAGCTACTTTAGAGACTAAGCAGGAGGATTGCTAATTTGAAGCTAGCGTGGGCAACTTTGCAAGCTCTCTTAAAAACCAATAACAACATTATCAACAAAAAACTCTTTGAATAAAGTTGAAGGAGGATCCAATCTTCCATATCTGTGCCAAGATCCTAACTCATTATACTTTAAGAGATAGTCTTATTTAAAAACAACAACAAAAAAGGTTTTACAAAATAAAATTTACCTTTATGTTTTCGTAAAAAATCAATGCTCTTCTGTAAAACAGTAGATTTGTCCATCTTTCTAGCATTACCAGGAAGCATGGATCCCAGTTCTTTAATAAGAACATTAAATTGATCTCTTCGTTTCTTTTCAGATTTGTTTCTTGATACTCTAATGAGAAAAGAAATTAAATAAGCAGTTTTTTAAAACAAACTATTACAAAACAAAAAAAAAAAACTCAATTTGGATGCAACATAACATATACTTCTGTAAATACAGACAGTGATAAATATTTATTTCCAAGGTTTCCAACAATATAGGGTTAATCTCAACAACAAATTTTCACCTCAGTTTACCACTAAAGAAGCTCTGATTTATCCAACATTTGACAAACATGTTTTGTATGAAAATACCAATAAGACAAACTGAGTTCACATCGCAAGTTTCAGTACTCTAATATTCCCAAGGATTATAAATTTACAAGATTATAAACATTAATGAGATACATTTTATGGAAGTACATGGAATATGTATTAAAAACTAGTGAATAGGAAAAAATTACCCACCTAATATAAGTTTTAAACTATACACACGCCTAAAAATGAAACTTTCTCTACTCCCAGATTTACTCACAATGGTGAATAATCTATACTTCAAAGACCTAGCCTCCAATATAGAGTTGTAACATTTTGTATCTCTCTCTCCATTAGGAAATGATCCCCAATTTTTCACCTAAGCATTAATGAATAATTATTGTTATTCTATGTGAAGCAGCAACCAATAAACAAAGGGCTCTTGAGACAAATAAACCCAATTATTTATAAAGCAATTAATCATTTTATAAGAACTCCAATTACTTGTTCTATAAATTAGATTTTCTTTTAGTTTTTGTTTAAGCATAAATATTTTTCCAAAAGGTCAAAGAATAATTTTATTTAATGTATAAACTGCATATTGATGTTCTAAACTCTTCTCCTTTGCTAATATACATAAATTCTAAAAGAAGATAACTCTTGGAAATCATTAATTTTCTATTTACTCACAATTACATTTATGAATCATTCATTTATTTCCTATTTCACATCTCACATCAAGCTACCTTTTTGCTTTGTCCTTGTCATCTTCTTCCACCAACCCATCAAAAATACTACTGTCATCTCTAAAAGAAAGAAGAAAATATATAAAGTAAGAGCAGACTAACTAAGCAACAGCAACACTGAAGTGCCAGGTGAATTCATTTGGTTAAATCCTAGGATGTTTGTAAAGTCAATGGATTGCACAAGCTCAATAACTACTAACCTATTTTCTAATAAAGTTCAGCTATGTTTAAATTTTGAAAGATTTTTACATATGTAAATTTTAGAAGTATTTACCTTAGCACTATTATAGATACACGGCAACAATGCTAAGCAAGAAATTAACCATTTTAAATATCTTGTTTCAAACTTTTAATGACCAGTGAAAACCTATAGAAAGTCCATTTGTCATTATATAAATTATTCACTTGGAATTATTTTATTAACTATAATAACAGGGCTGTGGTTGTGGCTCAGTGGTAGAGCGATTGCCTAGCATGTTCGAAACCCTGGGTTCAATCCTCAGCACCACATAAAAATAAACAAAATAAAACTATTGTGTCCAACTAAAAAATAAATATTAAAAAACCCAAAAAACTATAATAACATAATTTAACATTTTTAAGACAGTCACTTCATAAAATCAAATTATTCGCAAACATCAAAATATCTAACACATTAATCCTTTCATTCATTTACTGATCTATTTGACAAATATTTATTAGCACTCATGTGCTGGGGTCTATTTTGGATGTGGTTACAAAGCAGTGAATAAGACATGTAGCTGCTCTCTTACAGCTTATTTTTTAGTAGAAATAAACATGAAAATTTGTGACAATAGGTCTTATTTCTATAAAAGAGATAATGTTTTAGTTACTGGGGGTTACTTTAGCTTGAATGAATAAGGAAGGACCAGTCTAGTTCCATTTAGGGAAGGATATATTGAGATGGAGAGCAGTGATCTAAGTGACAAGACAGAGTAGCTATGGAAGGAACCGAGGGAAGAATATTATAGAGAATTACATCAAGAGTACTAGTGGTTAACTTCTTAAGCTAAGGAATGATATTAAACAGTTTCCAGTGGCTTATGAACTTTTGTGTGGATTCTCCATTTACTACTTTAGCCACAGCCTTTCTAGGATTCATAAAGCCTAGTAGCCAGGGCTGGTGTTGTGGCTCAGCAATAAGAGCGCTCGCCTAGCATGTGCGGGGCAGTGAATTCGATCCTCAGCACCACATAATAAGATAAATGAACTGTGTCCAACTACAACTAAAACAACAACAACAAAAAAGGCTAGAAGCCCATAAGGTGCTTGTTGGATTCACTATTGAGGTAAGCCATAAACTGTGTTTCATGGAAGTCTGTGACTAGATTTTAGGGATTCTATTTATGCCCCCAAATCATAATATTCAGAGACATAAGGAACCCACTTTATGTATCAACACATAGATATCAGACCTAAAGTCCTATTTTCTAGAATGAAAACTGGAAATCATTAAAAAACCTAGGAGCAAAATCATATTCAATCCCTCTGGGGCAGTGAAAAAATATCCCTTCTGAGGGAAGAGTTCTCAGAGATTACATATGCAACTATGGCAGGATCCAAAGCTAGAGTCATTGTGAGGCAACCTCCCTAAAGAAATTCCTTGCCCCTCAGGTCTTATGTTCTGGTAGAACACAAATTATCACTATTTAGTTCACAGAAAGGGAAGAGGGCTGCCTTCAGATGTCAATAGTCACTTCTGTGTGCAACTCATGTAAACTCTTAAAAAAGAATCCTCCACAGGCAAATCACAGTGTGCAATATAATAAAGGCACATAACTTTAGGGTCAGACATATCAACACAGGTTAAGATTCCAGCTCATTGCTTACCAGCTATGTGACCTTAAACAAGTTATTCAACCTCCTTGACCTACACCTATAAAATCCTATGAAATTATTGTGAGGTTAAATAAAATAATATGTAAAAATATTTTGGGGCTGGAGTTGTAGCTCAGTGGCACAGTGCTTTGCCTAGCATGTGTGAGGCACTGGTTTGGTCCTTAGCACCACATAAAAATAAACATATAAAACAAAGGCATTCTATCCATCTACAATTACCAAAAATTTTCTTTAAAAAATTCTGTTGAATATTTTTTTTAAATCTTTTTTAAAAATGCTGTTGAAGGGTAGGTGCTTCAAAATTATTCTATTTCATCAAATTTTAAGACACTACTGGCTATAAGATTCACCATTATTTATGTATCCTAAGGAAAAAATGCTACCAATTAAATTAAAAGTTAACTCTAAGACTCACCAAATGTTAGATGTTAAAATGCTAAAATACAAACAACAACAACAACAAAAAAAAAAAACACCTTAGAGTCAAAGAAATAAGGAGGTTTATCCTTTTCCCAAGAGTGAAATTTAAAGATTACAATTCAACTAATTCAAAGAGATTCCCTTTGAAACTGCAAGCACCAAACTATTTTAACATCCGAATATCCTCTAAGAATAAAGGCTGAGGACCTGACCCCTAGATCTAAGGGGCACCAGGGAAGCTGGTAGAATTGTTTCCTAGTTAAACCTACATATATAGATTTATGTATATAATATATGTATATTTTCTACCCTACCTTTTTTCACACTGTGACTCCTCACCTCCTATGAAAGTTTTCTTTTCACCTAAGTCCCCGAAAATGGAAATCTGAGAAAGAAAAAGATCTCTATTTTCCTCAGAGCTGGCTTTGAATAAAACCTATCCCTCACCAACCTGTTTTCTGAGATTTAGTGGAGCATAATAAAAGGTATTCTCTCACTCCAGTTTCATAATAATCCCAATTATAGTTACCTCTCATCAGTCACAAATGCCAAGATGCCTGAAGGGATGAAGTTAGCACCAAGAGATTCTAGAAGGTGCCAAGGAAACATTTGCAATTGTTACAATTTCCTTCAGAGCAGCTTTTGACCAAATTATTCAAAATTACAATTCAAGACCTATTTAAATCACAAGCCATATGCTGCTTGCTGACTTTGTTATGTACCTTACTTTATAACATGTTTGTTCAATACAAAAATTAAATATAATGGTAATTATGTTTAAGCACAAAACTTCTATTGATTTGATATAGACCATTATTTAATAATGAATTTAAAGTAGCCTTATATAATTCAAAATAAAGAAGTTTCTAAAAACATACCTGTCAACAATTGAGCTCATTTTACTACAGCTTACGGTAAACAACATAACATATTACGTTTTCGTCTTGTGGTAGACATTTGTACTTCTCCTTGGACGAAAAGAAAAATAATTATCATTAGTTTTCTAAAACACTTCCTTCTATAAAGTTACCTTGAAAAATATCACATGTTATCATGTATACTACATGTTATATATTATAAGTTACCATTTATGTTAATTCACTGATAGAGCTAGGCACTGGGCTAGGTAGGTATGCTAGGTAGGTAGGTATGCTATGGTTGGAGGAGGAAGATCAATGGAGGTTTATATTTTGTCCCTGGTGAATGGAGCCCTCTCTCTGCTCCCTAGTTGCCATGTCCTGAGCTGCTTTTCTCCACCATGCCCTTTAGTCATGATGTTCTGCCTCAGCTCAGACCCAGAACTTCGGAGTTTGCCTACCATGGACTGACTTTGAAAATGTGAGCCAAAATACACTCTTCCTCCTCTAAGCTGTTCTCTTCTGGTCTTTTGATCACAGCAACAAAAACTTAATAAACAATCGGCAATAAAAAATCTGATGAAACCCTATTTTGCCCTAACCAGTAGGGCACACTTTGGAAATAAAGGGATGAAAGACACAGTCTCTATAAGCAAAAATTTGCAATGAACACAGAAGAAGATACTAAATAATTACATTAAGATACATAATGAGGCAAATATTGGCAAATGGCATCCCTGGTAAAGGAGTAATTAGGTTTGCCCATGGAAATAAGAGGGCAAAGTCTGAAGAAACAGTCTTAAGGACAACAAATCATGTCAAGAGTCAAGATTCTTGTTACTGAAAGTATGTTCCAGATGCCAGCTGCATAAACATCTTCTGAAATTCTGTTAATCGGCAAATCTTGGGTTCAATCACAGTCCTATGAATCACAATCTACCTTTTCACAAGATCTCCTTGTAATGCTTATAACCATTTAAGTTTGAGAAATAAAAGACTAAAAGACAGGAAGGGGTAACAGCTGAAAAGACTCTAAGCCAAAGGAATGGAAATTTACAAAAGCACAGGGCTTTATGAAATGAGAGAACTTATTTGGTAACTCAAGAGATTCAGTATTTTCTTCATAGGAAAACTAGGCATATTACAATGTAAAGTTTTAATTACTAGAGCATAAAGTGAAAAGAGGAGTGGTGGAGGGGTGAAGGCAAATCAGTAGAGAAGAGCCTTAAATAAAGAAAGGGCCTCACACTTTTTATACACAGAAGTAATTAAAACTCACTGCTTTTAAACTGAATCACAAGCCTAAAATTTGACTCTCTAAATTCTATGTAGATTTCCTGAAAATATAAGGCAGATTTATCTTATGTCTATAGTCATGAATTAAATACTTAATAACTATCTTGAGTCTATGAAATATACTAACAGTTTTGAGGCATAAGAAATTCTACTTTAAACATAATCATCTTTCTTTAAAAGTTTGAATATGTAACTCCAACTAAACCAAAGAAATTTAAAGTACTATTAAGAAAGGAGAATCTAACATATTCTGCTGTTAACAGACAAGAGTAGTAGGAATATGAAGTTAAGGGGATAATTCTACAGACCAAGCCTATGCATTGGCCCTCGACATGCTTTCTTTTTTTAAAAAATTATTTTTGTTTTAATTAGTTATACATGACAGTAGAATGCATTTATATGATATATCATTCATAGATGGGATATAATTTCTCATTTTTCTGAGTGTACATGTTGCAGAATCATATTGGTCATGCAGTCACATATATACATACAGTAATAATGTCTGTTTCATTCATCTTTCCAATCCCCACATCCCCTCCCCTCCCCTTCCATCACTTCCCTCTACCTAATCTAAGGTGATGTTATTCCCTAGTGCCACCTGCCTTATTGTGAATTAGCATGTGCATATAGAGAAAACATTTGGCCTTTGGTTTTATGGGGTTAGCTTATATCACTTAGCATGATATTCTCCAACTCCAACCATTTACTGGCAAATTCCATAATTTTACTCTTCTTTAAAGCTGAGTAATATTCCATTAAGTACATATACCACATTTTCTTTATCCATTCATCTATTGAGGGTTACCTAGGTTGGTTCCATAGTCTAGCTATTGTGAATTGAGCTGCTATAAACATTGAAGTGGTTGCATCACTATTCCTATTAAAATCCCAATGACATTCTTCATAGAATTAGAAAAAGCAATCATGAGATTTATTTGGAAAAATAAGAGACCCAGAATAGCTAAAGCAATCCTTAGCAAGAAAAGTGAAGCAGGAGACATCACAATACCAGACCTTAAACTATACTACAGAACTGTAGTAATAAAAATGCATGGTATTGGCACCAAAACAGATGTGTAGACCAATGGTACCGAATACAAGACACAAGAGACAAACCCACATAAAAATGGTTATCTCATACTAGACAAAGGTGCCAAAAACATTCACTGAAGAAAAGATAGTCTATTCAATAAATGGCAAAACTGGAAATCCATATGTAGCAAAATGAAATTAAACCTCTAGCTATAGCCCTATACAAAAAATCAACTCAAAGTCGATCAAAGACTTAGGCACTAGAACAGAAACCCTGAGTCTAATAGAAGAAAAAATAGGCCCAAATCTTCCACCATGTCAGCCTAGGATCTGATTTCCTTATCAAGACTACTAAAGTGCAAGGTGTAAAATCAAGAATTAATAAATGGGATGGATTCAAATTAAAAAGCTTTTTCTCAGCAAAGGAAACAATAAAGTGAGGAGAGAGCCTACAGATTGGGAGAAAATCTTTACCACATGCACCTCCGATAAAGCATTAATCTGTGGGATATATAAAGAACTCAAAAAACTCAACACCAAAAAAGCAAATAAGCCAATCAATAAATGGGCTAAGGAACTGAACAGACACTTCACAGAAGAAGAAATACAACTAATCAACAATTATATAAAAAAGTGTTTGACATGCTTTCTTTTAAAAGCAATTACCTAAGACCAGTTTGGTACTGCACTGGCTTAAGTCAATAGGATGTTACATTCATTGCAAAACAACTTGTTATCCTCACAACTATTCACAAGAAATGGAATACCCTCACCCTGCCAATGAGGAGGACAAAACTTGTTCTGAAAGGTAACTTTTGAGACCTTTATACAGACCAAAGTTTTGAAGAATCAGGAAGATAATTAGAAGCAAAAGTCAATGAACATAAAATCTCTAAAAAATGATCCAAATAGAGTTGGTCACCATGAGCCAAAGTGACCGAGAGTTGTCTTCAGATCTTCAGTATATCATTTTAATATCTCTGTAATAGTAACATCTACCGCACCCCCCATAGATTTTGCCTGGGTACCTGTCGGTAAAATAACGCACAGCAGAGACTTAAAAATCTGATGCTATTCTACTGTCATTCAGGAATTGGGAGGTAGTAGCTACATGGGACTTTCTAGAAACTTCCATAAAACCCCAGTTTTAAAAACTAAGGAACAAAGGGGCGAGTTGTTCCTGTCTGGAGACAACCCATTCTTTCCCTTGAGGACATCTTTCCTTTCTCCTAAACTTTGCTATACTACATTTGGTGTTTTGTTTGACATTTTCTCCAGTGGTAACACAAGAACTGAGTGACAGAATACGACCCTTGGACCATAGCTGATAACACTGTGTCTGTTTTCCAATGGACTTTCATAAGCAGAAGAGAGAATAATGCTTGATAAATGAAACTGCACTGTCTTTATAGTTTTGGCTGCAGAAAAGGCACTGTGAAGGCCAAGAATTCTTAAAAGAAAATGACTGAAGGAATCAAAAGTAAGAGTTAAAAAGACTAACACCTGATAAAATACTCTGATTTTTAAGTGTCCAGGCTAACATGTGCAAATGGAACATAATTGCAGAAATTTATGGCCAGAAGAGAATTTAAAGATCATTTAAGAACACTCCCCTGATCCAACAGAAGAAATACTTATCATGGTAATGATAGAGATTGGCTCTATCATTAGACAAAAAGAACAGGGCAAAGGTAACAGTCAGTTTGGGTGAATTAAAAAAGAACAGTACTACTGAAAAGGTCAGATTTGAGCCTTACTTAACAAGACACCTTATAAGCCATCAGGATGCCTGTTTAGTTATCAAAGGGTAGAAGATCAAGATGGTGGAGTAAGAGGGTGGCTATGATTTCAGTTGCTCCATGGTTTGAGATTCAAGCAGCAGGATTACTGCTTCTCAGTGAGTGCTGGGATGCTATTGGGACACTACAAATTAAGAGGGTAGAGACTCTGCTGCAGAGCTAATCCCAGCCAAGAGAAATGCTGTATCTTGCTCCACACACAAACTACCATGCTCAAACTTTGTGATATTTTGATACAAACAATTGAAGTGACAAAAACTCCAAACTAATTACCAGGCCCTAAGTATGAATGGCTTGGGAATGGTCCTTGGGCCCCACACATAGACACCCACTCCTACGGCAAAAAGAGAATTAAAACAAACACTGGGATGGGTGCAGTAGCACATGCCTTAATCCCAGCAGTTTGGGAAATTGAGGAAGGAGGATCACAAAGCCAGCCTCAACAACTTAGGGAGACCCTCTGCAACTTGGCGAGACTTTGTCTCAAGATACAAAATCAAAAGGGTTGGGTCGTGGCTCAGTGGTAAAGTGCCCCTGGGTTCAATCCTTGGTTTAAAAAAAAAAGAAAAGAAAAGAAAAGAAAAAAATGACTGTGGATACCACATCTAAGAGGGATCTCCAATCTATTTCTCCCAAACCATTTAAGAATGTCTGCAGTTGTTAAGTGAAGAAGAGCAACCACACAAGATGTACCTCATGTACCCTGCTACATACAGCACAACTACCAAATCTCCACGAGGACCTGACTCTTTTGAGACCTATAAAGAAAGTGGAATCCTCAAGCTCTAACACAAAGTACACTATATCAAAATATGCTACTCATCGCCAAAGAACTAACAGGGAAACTATATTTCAAAACCCACTTGGAAATATATTGAAAAACACAACAACCTGATATCCAAAAACACCTTGGGCAAGAGAAAGCTAGGTAGGCCCTAAAAAGAACTACACGTAAGCCAGGGAGAGAAATGTACAAAACTC